CAAACGTGTTCACTATTACTCTGACTCTGGTAACGTGACTTCCTGGTGACGTGTTAGGTAGGAAAAGCAGTAAAAAAGTGCATATTAAGGGAGCAGATTTGAAATAATATTTATACTTAACAAGAAATAATTAAAGGTAAGTGGATTTTTGAATGATACAATTATATCATGATCACTTAACAATTTTAACTTAAAATTAGATGTATTATTACAAGCTTTTATTTAGCTTGCGTTATGTAAATAAAAGTATGTAGGTATGTTCGTATGTTGATGCAATTATCCTCAATCCTCAACCGACTGGGATAAAATTTTCCATACACGTTTATTTTGGATGATAGTGCATAGTTAGCTGAGAGTCGTCATTGGATAATAATGGTGGATAGCCTAAGATGTGTACTAGATATTTATTTTTAACATAATATGCGTAAGTACCTAATCGAATTAAAGAAGTTGCTGAGAAAAATACAGAACAATACGATAATAAACTAGCGTCTGCGTTTAATCCTCCGAGGAGATGTAATTTTACAAAGGTTTTTTGTATTTATTTTATTATTTTTTTAATAAATTTATTGTAAATAACAAGAAATAATCATTGTAAAAAAATAGGCACTCTATTGTTGAATTTTCGTCAGACCAACTAATCATCGTTCATTTTTTTAGGTTCAATGGGGAGACCTAAAGATTTACGCATATGGGAGCACTACCGTACTTTACCAAACAAGTCTGTTTCTTGCAAGCTTTGTAATAAGGTCTACAAATTCAGTAATGCTGCCAAAATGCTTCAACATCTTATCACTTGTCCAAAATCTCCAGAAACATTAAAAGACTCTATGAAACTTATAAAAGATAGCTCGTCCAAAACCAAAATGTCTGGACTGTCAGAGATAGAGACAAATGATTCTTTTATAAGCCCCTCGTCGTCTGCTAACACTACAATAAATGCTGAGTTTCAAGACACCGATGATCATATAAAAACAGAATTAGCGAGAGCTATATTTGTAACAGGGACGCCATTATCGATGGTGCAACATCCTTTATGGATACAATTTTTCGAAAAATTGCAACCAAAATTTAAAATACCTTCACGTAAAGCTTTAGCGACAAAATACTTAGATAAAATATATAGAGAAATGCGTTTTGAGTTAAATGAGGAACTAAATGCTTGTAGTTACTTACACCTTCAGTGCGATGGCTGGTCTAATTTAAGAAATGAAGGAATAATAAACTTTCTTATATCAAAACCTCAACCTGCATACGTTAAAAGTTTGAATACAGAAAGTAATCCTCACACTAGTGAATACCTTAGCCAAGAAGTTGAAAAAGTAATGAAAGTGTATGGAGCAAATAAGTTTCTTGTACTTATTGGCGATAACGCTAGAAATATACAAAAGGCATTCGAATTAACAAAACTCAAATATCCACATGTTGTTCCTCTCGGTTGCTGTGCACATATCCTTAACTTGTTGTGCCAAGATATTGTAAAGATACAAGAAGTAACTGTGTTTATTATGCAAGCCATAAATATAATAAAAACTGTTAAAAGGAGTCAACGATTAAGTTCCTTGTTGATAAAATCAAGGCAGGGTGAAGATTCTACACAAACACTAAAATTGCCTTGTGCTACAAGATGGGGAAGTCATGTTACTTCGTTAAAAAGTTTGAAAGCAAATAAGATAGCTTTGCAAATATTAACAGTTAGAGAAGATGTGGTAATTTCAAGAGATATTAAAGATTTAATTCTAAGTGATGATTTCTGGACGAAGACAGGGGAATGTATAAGTATTTTGGAACCAGTCACTGAAAGCATATTTTACTTAGAGAGCGACCAGAATCGTTTGCATCGCACATACATTACATTTAGAGATGTACAAGCTAAGATACGTTTTGCATTAAATGAGATTTCGACATTGAGCGAAGAAAGCAAACAGCAGATTCTAACATCAGTATCTTCAAGATGCAATATGGCAATGAGGCCAATACATTTTGCAGCATATATTCTAGACCCCAGGACTCTAGGAGTCGAACTTACTCAAGAGGAAGAACTTAAGGGTATGGAGTTTATCTACAATTTAAGCCAACACTTAAGTTTGTCAAATGTAATGGCAGATTTGGCGTGTTATAAAGCTAAAGAAAACTTTTGGGCCAGAGGATTTGTATGGAGCTCATTAGATAGCATTGAGCCCCTAATATGGTGGAAAGGTATTTGTGGTTCCACTGAGTTAAGCAAAGTAGCGATTCGTATTCTATCAGCTCCCTGTACTTCGGCAGCCACTGAGCGTTCCTTTAGTATCCAAGGCTACATACATAATAACAAAAGAAATCGACTTACAACTGAAAGAACTGAAAAAATTTCATTCATTTGTTATAACTGGAATCTTAAACATAAAGCTGAATGCGAGGACATTCAGTTTAATGAAGAAAATACCTTAGAAGCTTTCATTGAGCAAGTAAATGAACATAACAGTTTAGACGAAATAGAGCCTATCGAACCTATACAATTCATCGCTTGTAATAACTCTGAATCTGACAGTGATTGACTGTAGTTTTACATTTTACTTTCATCTCTTTCTTAATAAACTCAAAATCAAATTAAAAGTTTTTTATTCTGTAGGCTGCATAATAATATTGTCTATGTCCAGTATAGTGGACGTCTTGCGGCTGAGATGACGATGATGAAGTACAAAATCATAAACACCCAAAAATTTGGGTGTTTATGGGGTTTAAACCCAATAAACCCAAAACACCCGGTTTTTACCCACCAGACTTTAAACCCACCCAGGTGGATTGCCCATCTCTAATCACTGGTGCTCCGCCAGCGTATACTGATGCCGTAAACAGGGTTACCATTCTATACTCATCTATAAAAGGTGGGAAAGGGATTGTTAGCAATGGAGTTTGACAGCCCCATTGCTAGCAATATGCCCTATTAGGTCGACCTCCACATGGTTCCCCTTGGAAACCATCGTGAACAATTCTTGTTGAATTCGTCACGATGGGCCAATTGGCCTGCTTCATCCTCACCTATTATCTTTCACTGGTGCCCCGCCAGCGTATCTCGCTAGCGCAGGTAGGGTTACCATTCCATTATCACCCATTAAAAAAAAATCATCTATAAAAAAAAACTGCTAAGTCTCGCGTTATACGTATTTATTTATTACTGCTGCCCTTCTCTTCTGCCTCTCCTACCAGCGTACGATTAGTAGTTATTTAATTTTCAGTGAGAGAAAGTCGATCTGATAAGATATATTCCTAGCAATAAGAACTACTAGTCACTATTACTCTGTTAGTTTATTCTAGATGGCGCTATATTGCATATCCCGTGGTATTTAAAAAGCAATATTATATATCGTCATAGTCGTAGAATACTGACGGATCTATATATGTAATATTCGTCAGATCCGTCAGTATTCTACGACTATGACGATATTTGCCAAATTAACGAAACACGCGAAAAAAATACTATGATGGGATCAAAATAGGAGCAAATGACAAATAATTATGAACCACACCTATTTGAAATTGGTTGAAAATATATATTTTTTAGTACGTTTGTTCCGTTATAGAACAGGCTAAGATCGGAGACCATGCTGCCTAGTCTTCAGTATGATAATTTGTCTGGAATTATAGCAATCGCTTTTACAATCATTCTTTATAATAAAAAATTAAGTAAAATAGGCACCTAATTAATTAATGTAGGTACATACTACATTCACAGTATGAAGAACTCTTCATATTCTTACTCTGTATTACGTTACGTCTACCAATGTACATAGATTAAGTACTCCAGTTCTGTAATGTACCTAAATAAAAAAAAAATTAAATGAAAGTACATTTGTAATAATAAATTTTATTGCCTACCGTTAATACAATTGTACTGCCTCCTACATTAGATGGCGTTGAATTTCAAATAGCTAACATGTGCATTTTTACGTTATTTGAAAATATTTGCTAATTATTATTATTTTTTTAATTATGCTTTCTTTATTTATTTATATATTTATTTATTTTATAAAAACATTTTTATCAAATTGTCGGTAAAGCAGTCTCTAATATATGACAGTTAAAGATTTCGTTGACGCGCCATCTTACTACTACAGACTGAGACACTCGGTACCTAGGAATATTATTTGTCTGCTTGCTATATCAAATTTAATTTATAATATTAATTGGTTAATAAAATGGTTTAAATTTTACATAACTGTTTATTTAAAAGATGGTTACTATTATTTTTGATCAAGAAATAATATCTTTTGAAAGCAAGGGTCACACAAATGAAACAAACATAATGTTTTTTGTTCTGCCATCTATCGTATTTAGTGGGAATGTTTGTGCTGTCTGCTTAGTTGTTGTCAAATTTTATATTAGTTCACATTCCGTCCGTGGCGCTCACAACCCAAACAATAAATTCCAACATGGTGGCAATGTGCTACACAGTTTGAAAATGCAGGTCGTGTCATGCTTTGAAAAAAATCATTTTATACTCGAATTTGGTGGAAAATGTCGGACCCTAAACGTGCTACTCTTATAACAGTGGGTGCTTCAAAAAGTGGAAAGAATAATGTGAATAAAACAGTGAGATTAACTATAAATTTGGTTGAAAGCAACGAAAGTAAATATCCGGAGCTGAATTACAAGGAACTAGTCATTACAGAAGAGGTAAGTTATAACAGAAAATCATAGCAATTTACGCAACCATGCTGGTTTTCCAGTTCTTTGTAATATAAGGAATCGACTGTGAAAATGTCGTGGCAAAAATACAAACGGTTTACCGGTCACAGGCCCTTTTCTTAGGGCCCTGCAAATTTGGTTTTAGGATATTTTTTGCTTACGTTACACGGCTTTGTATTAGGTTTGTGACATGAATTTGCGTTCACGAGCTGTATGAGAAGCCCAGATAGCGGTCGCCATGTTTGCAACAATCATAGGAGAACGTTGTCAGCCTAGGGCATCATGAAACGAGTCCAATGTTTTGATACCTAACTTAGTCTCAATAAGATCGTTTTTACATTAATAACAGTGTTTTTACTATTGTACTAATGTATAAAATGCAATTGCTAATTGGCAACTATGAGGCAATGTCCGTGATATCTGATTAGAGACGAAAGGAAAGTATAGATTCAATGACCTAGGTTAATCTGCCAATTCTGTGTTTCCGGTAAAAGCGAGCCACTCTTTTTAGGTTATTTTTATTATTAAATTTAATTTGAAATGAATTGTTAACTTCTGGTATAGGAATAATGTGTAGGTATATAAGTTGAACATATGTTTATCATATATAGTGTGATAGGGATAGTGTGCGTGCGTGTGGGTCCTATGTAATATCGCGGTACTGCTCTTGCACGTTATATAGAATTGTCTTTGATTATTTATGCGATATTAACTGAATCCTACCTATGTAATGTATTGACCGAATAATACATACTTTGTTTGGTTATGTTTATTTGAAAACTTGATTTGTAATGTTGCCAAGTGCTTTCCGTTTGCAGATTGCAACCGGCAGCTGGCTGTTTGTGTCTGTTACCTTTGCACTGCTTAAAAGCTTTTTTCTTGTGGTCTCATATCGATTTAGAATAAATAATTTGCAGGTTAGGGACTTCTAGCGTAGGTATATAGATGGTATCGTGTCATATACTTTTGTCTGTGTGCGTGGATGAGGTGTAAAGTGATTTATTGCGGATGTGTGACGTAGTGAACATTTTTTTTAGTGTTTCTTGATATTGATACGTTAAATTATTTACTTTTATTTCGACGCGCTGTATTTTAAATGGTGCGGTACTTGCGATGCATAGGTACAATAGTTTTATTATTATAGTTTTTTTTTAAGTAGCAATATTGGAAATATATTTGTGCATTAAATTAAGTATCTGATTTGATTTATTTTTAATGAATTTAATAAATCGATAGTTGTAAATGCTTTTCAACGCCTTCTAAAAATAGGTTTTACCTAATTCTGTATATATATATATATTTAATTTATTTATAGGCGATTTAAATAATAAAATCGTCTTTTTCAACCGACTTCAAAAAAAAAGTCTTTCAATTTGACTGTATTTTTGTGTGTGTATTTTAATCGTTTTAATTTTTTTTTTTTTTATTGGCAAGTTTTATTTTCGTGTCCCTTATCTACTTATTTTATCGAAATTGCAGTGTCTTTTTTTAACATATTATTAAGACCTTTGCTGAATACTAAGTAGGTATCGGGTTATATTTTAATTATTTTTAATGCATGCCTATTTAGGTATCTTGATATTTTATTCTCTGTGACTTTATAGTTTACTATTTATCGAGACAGTATTACTTACTTAATTATTATAGTAATACTAATTAGTTTATTAGTTATAGTAATATATATAGGTTTTTAAATCATAGATAAATGTTATCTATAAATCAGCTGTTCTGCGCGTGTGCGTGTCGCTTATCACGTTTACATTGCGTATGCTAGTGTGAGTGACTGCCTATTCGTTCACTGCGTCGCTCATCGTTTTACCGCCAATATGCAAACACCTTTATGCGTGGACTGCAACGCGAAGTAGAGTCGGCAAAAAAAGTAGCTAAACGTCATATTTTTTTAATTAGATATGTAATTTTATTTTAAAATTCCTATCTATATACGTACATATGTATTGCCGTGTTCTTGGTATTTAGGTTTATAGTAAATTAGCTATTATAATTATGTAGGCATATTTTAGTAAACAGGTGTTCAAATATAATAATAAATTATAAATTTGTCGTACTATTCCTGTAGGTCGGTACGTACGTATGTGTATGTGCTGCTTATCGTATTTCTATTATAAAACTAGCTTTTACCCGCGACTTTGTCCGTGTGGACGGAATAAGTATGTCTACTGACCTGAAAAAAATAACCTATATCCTTTTCCATCAAATATGTGTAGTAGGTATGTGTATATCAAATTTCCTAGTGATTGTTTAATCTATTTAAAGCTCTATGAGTTAATAAACAAATTCACTTTCACATTTATAATATTACCTAATAGGTATTGTTTACTTAGAATGAGAATAAATTACCGGTTCGATGCATCCGCTTGTTTCGTTGCATCCCCGCCGGTGTGTACACACCTTTATACTTTTTATAACTAAAAGTACAGTCAGCAAAAAAAAGAGCTTAATATTTTCTGAAATGGTTTAAATTTGAGATATTAGTGTGTGTTTACATTAAATTAGAAACCCAATTAAAATATAGTAAATTGCTAAATACCTAGAGTATTTTATTTACATATATTATTTCATAATAATATCTGTGCCTCTAGTGAGAAAGGGTTCAATTCAAAATGGTCACTTTTCAGGAGAGCCAAAAAACTATTTTAAATAAAGAAAAAAAATTCTGCTGCTTTTATTATTTGCTAATTGAACAAGTCAATGATTGCATTTATAGTAATTTTTTCTCCTCTTTCTTATGAAATTGTCGGTTTTTGTGTAAAACCTATAGTTTTAAAAATAATTCTATTATACCTAATCACACTTAACAAAAATATTAAAATTATCATGTGAAAATAGTTTTAAGTTGAATTAAAACTATTTTATTGAAGTATTGAAGAAAAACAATGATTGTGTATTTTACGCTATAAAAAATAATCGCTATTTAATGGTGTAAAAGGGTTCAAATCGAACTGATTCATTTTACAAAAATATTTTTTGTAAAATATTGTAGTTTTATTTCTAATTATGACTTTTTTACCACAAATATTTTGTTAATTGTAGCCTTTTACATGTTTACTATCTCTATTGTTTTTAAAGATATCGTTACGATTCTTATAGCGTTCGAAAGAGAAAAATTTGCTTATTTAAAGTAGCCTAAAAAAGAAAAAGGCTATAACTTGAGTTATACCCTTTCTCACTAGAGGCACAGATATATGTAAATCCTATGATACAAAAATATAGCTCTTTACATACGTAAAGAGACATTAAATTTGTAACCTACTTATTTTTATGCAAATAAATGATTGCAGACAATAAATACATAGTACCTACTTCATTAAAGTATATTATTTAATGATTTCCCCCATTAACTTGCACTTATCATCATCATTATCCTATCGTATCTTGCCAGTAGTTGCCACGCTTGGCAGGCGGGTTGGCAACTGTATGTTATGATGGAAATTATGCAAAAAATAGTTAATTTTTATTTAACTTTACAACGTTTGCGCGCGCGCACTTTGTATTTCGTCAACATCATGTCGCCCGTCGTATCTCTCTGTCTCGTTCGCACTGTACCTCTAATTCACTCGTCTAGTTTTGTTTCACGCATCTTTATATCAATTCCCATATGATTGACTAGCTGATGCCCGCGACTTTGTCCGCGTGGTATTTGTTATTCCTGTTTAGTATGTATCGATGTATGTACCGACCTATTTATTAAGTCCGGGAATATTGGACCAAAATTAATAAATGACGTGTCGTTCTCACTCTTTTTGCTTTAGGTCAAAGTGACTTCACTTAAGTAGGTTGTGTACTAAGCTGTATAAGTTTTTATAGTTTTTTTTAACTAACCCACGGGAGCTCATTAATTTTGAATGATTAAAAGTATCTAATATATTGACCGGGGATGTAAGGTATCACCATGCAAAGTTTCAATTAAATCAGTCCAACAGTTTCAGAGAATAGTGCATACAAACAAACAGACAGGAGAGGGAAGGGATTGTTAGTAATGAAGACTAAAAATTCCATTGCTAGCAATATACCCAACCAGGTCGACCTCCTCGTAGTTCCCTATCTAAACTATCATAGTTAATTCCTAATGAATTCATCATGATGGGCTAACTGGCCTATTTTCATTCTCATCTATCATCCTTCACCGATGCTTCGCCAGCGTATCTCGTCAGCGCAGGCGGGGTTACCATACCATACCACTTTCACCCATAAAAAAACATACAGAAATAGAAAACGTGAACAGCACTATGGACATAACAGAGTATATTATGTCGCCCATAGTACCACTCCCGCGTTTCCATTTCTAAGGATTAAGGTATTTTTTTTTAATGAGTGATAATGGAATGGTGACTCTACGCTATCAATATACGCTGGCGAGGCACCAGTGAAGGATGATAGGTGACGATGAAAGCAGGTCATTTAGTCCATCGTGACGAATTCCATTAGAATTAACCACGATAGTTTCCAGGGGGGACAATGTGGAGGTCGACCTGATAGGTATATCTTACCATTCAAACCGAAACACAGCCATGTAAACACAACTGCTTCACGGTAGAAACAAGAATGGGACAGAGGTGCCCAAGCAAACGCCTATTATACCAAGTCTCCCTCTGTTATTTAAATGAATCTCTATCTAATGTTTCAGAGGAAGAAAAGAGTAGAAAACGGCAAGACAGCTGGATTAGATCCATTTTCCGACAATGATGATGACGTGGAACGAGTCGCCAGGAAGTTTGAGCAGAAATATGTGAGTAATTGATTTTTTTTATTGTTTTTCTTAGTAAACGAAGTCTGCTGATCCCCGAAGCGTAGCAAGGTCGCAGTTACCTGTCCATTGTCGAAGACAATTGGTCGATTTTTCACTAAGAATATTTCAACATGCTGATTGACGTATGAATGAATGAGTATACTGTATTTGCATTATACAATATAGGAAATAAGCAAGACAATTAATAAATGTAACGATACAGTTGTATAAGTACAGTAAGGCGGTCTTATTGCTGAGAGCAATCTTTTCAAGACAACCTTAGGGTAATGGACTAATTGGTGTACAAGTAGGCATGATGATATTGTATAATTGAGAAAGTTAACAGCGTAAAACGTTAAGGAATTTAATTATAAGTACCTTTATCAAATTAAAAAAAAAAGATTGATGTTTCATGACTAAATTCAATTGTGGTAAAACTAGTTAGTTTAATTTATAAACTAAACTACTAAATTGATTTTAGAGCTAGAGGGAGACTTTGTACAAAAGTCGTTTGCTTGGGCACCTCTGTCCCATTCGTGTTTCTACCGTGAAGCAGTCGTTTGCATGGCTGTGTTTCAGTTTGAATGGTGGGATATGGCAGTGAATTTACATGGTACAGAGGAATAACACCTGAGTCTTCAAGAATGTCAACGCATAGGGGGTATCATGGGCGAAACGGTATACTCTGTTATGTCTATGGTACTGTTCATGTCTATAGGCGACGGTTACCACTTTCCATCAGGTGGGCCGTCAGCTTGTTTGTCTTTTTAAGTTGCATCTAAAAAAAAAGATAACATTTCTATGGGTCCAATCTATTATTTAACTTATAAATAAATAAATATTTTTTCGCAGGGCGGTAAGAGCACATACGGTAGAAAAGGCAGGTCGAAGCATGACGACTTTGCAGACATTGGTGCTGGCTACGATGAAAATGATTCCTTCATCGACAACACACATGGGGTAAATTTATAGACTTAACTAGCTTTTATCCACTGCTTCGTACGCGTGGATTTGAGAAGTAGGATACACAATTAAATAAATCACTCCTTGATGTAGTATCGAGAGAAAACATGCCAATATTAATGTTAAACCTTCAAGAGCACAACTGTGGAAACTGCATCCAATTTGGTGCAGTAATTGTTGCGTGATACTAGAAGGAAACTAGACACACAGTATCTTATTGGTCCCGGCATAGAATGGGCCACCCCTTCCTTTCCAGTGGGTGTCATAAGAACCGAGTAAAGAAACTTTGGTCGAGGGATGGGCAGCAGCGTCCCTCTTAAAATATCTCCAAAGACGTAACTGCGGTTGCCAACCTGCCTGCCAATCGTAGCTACAGTTGGGAAAATTCCCCCATTAAGAGTAGTTAAATAAAAGAATATTTTAAAATTATTTTCCAGTACGACGAGATGATCCCGCCAGAATGTGACACGATGTATGGAGGTTTCTACATCAACAGTGGCTCCCTCGAGTTCAAAACTGTACCCGAGAACCAGTCCGTCCTGTCTGACGGTGAACCAGGGAATAGAAGAAATAAGGTATTTTGTATATGCAATTTTTGTTTATATAACAAAGATAGAAAACTAGCTAGGGTGGGATATGGCATTGAGTTTGCAGGTTACAGAGGAATAACACCTTAGTCCACAAGGAATGGCGATGCATGGGGGTATCATGGGCGAAACAGTATATTTTTTTATATCTATGCTACTGCTCATGTCTATAGTCGACGGTTACCACTTTCCATCAGGTGGGCCGTCGGTTTGTTTGCCATTTGAAATTACATAAAAAAAAACCTAGTCCATAAGTAAATATATAATTAAAGCCATATAAAAATTGTATTAATATAGGTTTTCAAATTGAATTGCAGAGACGCATTTCGTCAAGTAGCAGCGAAGAGGAGTCGTCCGATAGCACGTCAGAGTCGAGCCAGGATGTGAAGGATCCGAAGGCGATCGCCAACGGTGCTGTCGACTCACATAAGACTGAACATCGGAAAAAGGTTAGTGGTAACCAGCGACTAATTAAAAACTGAACAATAATTAAATAAGAAATGGTCCCGTCCCTTATGGCAGTCTGTAGGGGAGGCCTATGTCCAGCAGTGGACGAACAATGGTAAATTAAAAATTTCATCAATTTAATGTTAGAAAGATGGGCATGGACATTGCGTCCATCTTGAAACATCTCTAAAAGTCTAGCTGCGGTTGCCAACCTGTCTGCCAAGCGTGGCAACTACTGGCAAGACTTCCCTTATGGGGAAAACCTATATATACAAAAGTTTATATATTTTAGTGTAATATTTTAATTATTTTTTATTATTAGTACATATATGTGTATGTGGTCGACTTAATGCTAAAAGCATTCTCTCCCAGTCAACCATAGGGAAGTGTCAGAATACTCGAATGTGGTACTAGTAATTATTGATATATATGCATACTAAAATTACATATATAAACGAATACATATATATAAATAACAAATATACTCACACAAATCGTCATAGTCGTAGAATACTGACGGATCTGACAAATATTACATATAAAGATCCGTCAGTATTCTACCACTATGACGACATAGTAATAATTATTATAGTAAATTTAAATATATATATTGTTTATGTTAAGAGATGACTAAGTGATTGTAATATTTGTTTTATGCTTAATTTAATTTATATTTTATTTACTGTATGAAATTATTGTATCTATTGTACTATGACATTCAAATACAAAATTTTGTTTATAAATAAATAAAATAAAAAAAATATATATGACATATACTATATTATACAGGAAATTGAGAAGAATAATAATTTTTAATAATGTTTTTATTTCATTTGAATCATTTCATGTTTTCTGTTAAAGTGTTATTTAATTGTAAACATAAAAATATTTATAAATTTTTACATATATAATAAACATATTAATAGAATTTATCTTTATTTTACAGAAAAACAAAAAGATCGACAAGAAGAAAGCAAAGAAGATCAGAAGAACTGATTCCTCTGCAGCTACATCTGGAAAACAGACTTCAGATGGTAATTTAATTTTTATTCATATTTAATCATCATTTTTAGTATTATATATATATATATATATATATATATATATATATATATATATACATATATTTCGGAATTAGACTTGAAAGTTGTAGACAAATACGCTGGTTGACAGTTGTATTATACAGCGTTATAGTTTTATGTGTTTGTTGACCATTATTACCATTGCGTTTAAGACGGTGTATTAGAGTAGTCGACCTTAATGGTGGGGGAAAGGGATTGTTAGTAATGGGGGTCTAATAGCCCTATTGCTAGCAATATACCCTCTCAGGTCGATCTCCACGCGGTTCTCCCTGGAAACCATCATGTTTAATTCTTGTCGAATTCATCATGGTAGACCAATTGACCTGCATTCATTCTCACCTATCATCTTCCACTGGTGCCTCGTCCGTGTATATGTGTGTCAATAGCACGGGCAGGGTTACCATTTAATTTTCATCCATTAAAAAAAACCTCAATTATATTTTTTTTTTTTTTATTATTGAGATTTTATTGTAGTGCACTTGTCTAGGAATAAAATTTCGAGACCGATGTCTTTTTTCTATTATATATTATTTTATTAAGCTTTCTCCAACAATATTTACTATATTCATAATAATAATAAAGAACTGAAATAATTTGTGTTTTGTATATATGTACTATAGAGCGAAATATACCATATACGAATAAGCTAGGCTGATAAAAGACGATTAAAAAAAGCCAATGGGAGTCTCAGCTTTTCATTTTCCAATATTTATGGGATGTCTGAGAATACAGGTAAATTATCCTAGAATAAAGTAAAATAATAATAATGTAATTTTAATTTGTTTAGACAATGGTCACGGTGAGAGTGCAGACTCGAGGACTTCACAATCTGATTCGTTAACTTCCAAACCTGCACCAAGTTCAGAGAATGCTGTCACCTCGGACAGTTCCAGGTATTTGTCTAGTATCATCATCATTTTGGTGTCATTATCCGTCCACTGCTGGACATAAACCTCCCCCATAGACCGCCATAAAGAACGGTCCTGAGCAACCTGCATTCACTAACTCTACAATGCATTTGGAGTCGTCACTCCATCTAGTGGGGGGATGGGGAGTCCTCCTATATTGCGTTTGCCCGTATCTATAATATAGTACAAAAACTGGTCATCGACAAGTTGAATTCACACGCTAGGTGTGCTGTACGTAGAATAATCCATAAACAGATTTTTATTTTCTTTAGATACGTTCTTTTTTTTATATCATATAGGTGACAAACGGCATACAATATACAGCCCGTCTGATGGTTGGGGGGAAAGGGATTGTTAGTAATGGAGTTTGACAGCCCCATTGCTAGCAATATGCCTTATTAGGTCGACCTCCACATGGTTCCCCCTGGAAACTATCGTGAACAATTCTTGTTAAATTCATCACAATGGGCTAACTGACTTTCTTCATCCTCACCTATCATCCTTCATCGGTGCCCCGCCGGTGTATACCGATACCGCGGGTAGGATTACCATTCCATTATCATCCATTAAAAAAAAAAGTCCGTCTGATGATAAACGGTCACTGTAGTTTATAGACCTCTGCGACACTAGGGGTGTCACATGTTTTTTTTTATACAACTTAGAATGGCAAACAAGCTGACGGCCCATCTGATGGAAAATAATAACCCTCGCCTATAGACATGAGCAGTACCGTGGACATAACATGTGTGTATATTTATACAATTGTATAAATACACATAATTATTATTACAATTTATTAGAAGAATTCCTTATTTTAAACTATATTTTTGCTTGTCAATCAATCTGTATGTTTGTGACTGTATCACACAAAAACTACTGCATAAAATTGTATGCAATTTTCACCATTTTGTTACTACAGGACTCACTTGAAAGCTGTATTTGCTATTTTGTTTTCACTCTGTTAAGAGTTAAGGGGTGTTTGTTTTTAAGACATTTCAGTACTGCCATATGTACGCTAAAAGATTTACAAATTTATTGTACAACTTATTTAATTATAAGTGCTAGTTCTTTCAGCATTTTGAAAGACTGAATGATTAATATTCATAACATTAATTTTAAACTTGGTCATAATTAGCCATCTCTCCTTGATACGCCATTTAAGTATCTATTTCAGTGGCCTTTCTACTTCCGAAATCCATACGTATTCAGCGTGAAATAGTACGTATTAAAAATAGATATATCTAAAATCAGGGATGCTGAGGCCAAAGTGGATGTGAAACTGCCAGCTCCAGTGGTGCAAATATTGGAGGAACTGGAGGCGGTTGTCAGCAAACAACTGATCGACAACCCCAACACGCCGGCCCAGGAGTTGGAGAACAGCACCAAAACTCAACTGCAGAGGTATATTTTTTTTTTAAAACAACTTTGAATGGCAAACAAGCTGACGGCCCACCTGATGTAAAGTGGTAACCGTCGCCTATAGACATGAGCAGTACCATGGACATAACAGAGTATACTGTTTTGCCCATGATACCCCCCATGCGTTGCCATTCCTGAGGAGTCAGGTGTTATTCTTCTGTACCCAGTAAATTCACGCCATATTCCACCCTTCAAACCGAAACACAGCCATGCAAACACAACTGCTTCACAGTTGAAATACGAATGGGACAGAGGTACCCAAGCAATCGACTTTTGTACAAAGTCTCCCTCTCTTATGAATTCAAACAATGATATTTTCATTGTAATAAAAAGAAATTTTACAAACGCGCTGAAAATGAAACCAGCCTCTCTAAACAAATGGAAAACGAATTTGTCGATAGAATAACTAATGCAAGCGAGTCCATGTGTTGGAATGAGACATCGGACATTGCTATCTCATGACCTCGCTAGCGTTATGGATTCCATTGATGGGTTCGCGTGCCACTTGTTTAAAGAGCCTAGAGAAAAATAGAATATAAAACATTTATACACAACAAAACAATTTCATATGAAATAGAATAATAAAATGGGCGAAAGGTCTTTATTTCAGCATTATGCCAGTAATAGCAGGCACATTGCTCACTGTCAGCTGATATTCTGACATATAAGACACAAACTGGTACCACTATAATTGTTTTACACTATTTGTAAACATTTCTGTGCAAAGAACAAGGCCTATTCATTTATTAAATTTTAATAATTCTATCCCTTTTAAATTATGGCAGTGTGACGTAATTCTTTTGTGTATAGTCACTGTGTTTAATTTTTTTTCTGACTTTAAAAAAAATATTAAATGTTTTGCATTGAAAAATATGTTTCGTTGAGGAACCACTCAATTGTACAAGCGTGAGGAATAAAATAAGTATTTTATTTTTTATCTTTATTATAATATCTGAAGATAAAAAAAAAATTGAAATTGTTTATTACTGAATTTATTTTAATTTCTATATTTAATTGCCGATTTGAATCATGCTCTAGAGGCTTGGCAACTGCTGTAAAGTCAAACAGTGAAATGGTAAAACACAAACTATGTTTTCAGTTAGCTGTTTTATATTTCAACAATATTGGTCCTTCGAGCCGCTAACCTCAAACCTCAAATTAACTTTATTAATATTGTATTCACAGATTAGAACGCCTGCTCTCTAAATGCAGCGAGGTGGCAGTGGTCCGCGCCAGCTGGAATCGTGCCGCTCGAGCGCTGCGCTCCTCGCGGACTAAGCTGCTACAGCGGCTTAAGGCGCGACCCGAACAGGTGCTGCAGCCACCACGTGAGTATAGTTGAAACTAAAATTCACTAAAATAAATTCAGTGTTCACATATCGCGACCCTTAAAATGTTTGTTTATTTACTCTTTATTGTAACACTTTTAGAATAATTCAAGAACAAATATACATTACACTTATGAAGTACAAGAGGCGGCCTTATCGCTAAAGCAATCTCTTCCAGAACCTTTAGGTAGAGGAAAGAAGAAAAGAAAAAACAGTATCTAAAAGTCTAACTAAACTTCATCATCATCATATCAGTCTTTAACTGTTCACAGCTGAACATAATCCTCTTTGGGGGTTTTTGCCACTAGTTGCCACGCTTGGCAGGCAGATTGGCGACCGTAGTAAGGCATTAGAGGTCTTTTAAGAGGGACGTTGCTACCCATCCCTCGCCCTCCCTTAGTCGCCTCTTACGACACCCACGGGAAAGGAAGGGGAGGCCTATTCTATGCCGGGACCACATGGTCAATGCAAATGTGTTAAATCCATCAATTATTACTTTTAGAGTCAAATCCACCCACAACAGTTACTCAGCCTACTGCAACTGGTAACACGGCTGCGAACAAGCGCAAGGCTGTCGACGACGCGGACGATGAGGACTTCAGTAGTTTGACGCCAGAAGAGATTGAGGCCAAGATTGTGGAAACCCTAGCAAAGTTAGTATGGCTCTCTTACATTAGTACCAATTTTAAAGGTACAGTCTTTTACAGAGTGATTGGTATTGTATAGATAGACCACCATAGTATCATCAGAGGAAGACTGTACAAAAGTCAATTGCTTGGGTACCTCTGTCCCATTCGTGTTTCTACCGTGAACCAGTTGGATTTGCATAGCTGTGTTTCGGTTTGTAGGGTGGGATATATGGCGTGAATTTACAGGGTACAGAGGAATAACATCTGACTCCTCAGGAATGGCATGGCATGGGGGGTATTATGGGCGAAACAGTATACTCTGTTATGTCCATGGTACTGCTCATGTCTCTAGACGACAGTTACCACTTTCCATCAGGTGGGCCGTCAGTTTGTTTGCCATTCTAAGTTGTATAAAAAAAAATACATAGTGCATTACCAAATATGATAACAACTAAATAAGTCAGAGATGTTTCCTCCTACGAACACTCAGGTTATGGAATGAGCTTCCTGCTGAGGTTTTCCCTAAAGACTACAGAATGAGGTTCTTCAAAAAAGGAGTAAAGAGGTTTCTTCAGGGTCGGCAACGCGCTCGTAATACCTCTGGTATCTCTCTGGCGTTCATAGGCTACGGTAACTGCTTACCATCAGGTGGGCCGTATGCTTGTTTGCCACCTCAGTGGTATAAACAAAAAGCTTAAAAAACACCCGGTAATATCAAGTTTCTACCATGACTGACTAATTGGGGGGTTGCCAGTAGTTGCCACGCTTGGCAGGCGAGTTGGCAACCGCAGTTGGGTTTTTGGTGATGCCTTAAATGGACGCTACTGCTCATCCCTCAACCATGAGTTTCCTTAAACACCTTTTATGACACCCACGGGAAAGGAAGCGGTGTACTATTGTAGGCCGAGACTTATTAGTTATTATACTATATTTATTAACAACTGTATGTGTTACAGATTGAAAGTGTTAATAGAGGAACGTAAGCCGGCCATGATGGCCAGCTATAAGGCCGAGTGTGAACGTGTTCAAGAGGAAAGGTGAGTGGCATTCACTTGTTTAACAACTTGTCACAGTGACTTCAAATTTATAATTGAATTTCTTTTTAAACGCCTATTATCCATCAGAGGGAGACTTTGAAAGAAAGTCGTTTGCTTGGGAACCTCTGCTTCCATTCGTGTTTCAACCGAGAAGCAGCTGTGTTTGCATGACTGTGTTTCGATTTAAAGGGTGGGATATGGCGTCAATTTACAGGGTACAGAGAAATAACATCTGAGTCCTCAGGAATGGCAACGCATGGGGGTATCATGGGCGAAAGAGTATACTCTGTTATGTTCATGGTACTGCTCATGTCTATAGGCGACGGTTACCATTTTCCATCAGGTGGGCCGTCAACTTGTTGGCCATTCTATGTTGCATAAAATATAACTAGTCTGGCCATAAATACTATTATACAAAAAGTTTTTTTTTTTCAACGTTATAATTATTTTGAATTTGGAACAAGTTTCTTATTTTAAAAACTTTTTTCGATTTCGCGCCATTTCACATATTTTTTCGTGTTCATTATCAAATTACAATATGGATTGGGATGTTAAAGAAAATAGGATTACAGTGATCGCCTTGCACAAAGTGAGTATGGAGCCGTCGGTCATTTCCAGACACTTCAAAAGCTTGGTATCAACCGTATGTTGGTATATTATACTATCAATAGATACAAAAACACTTCTTCTGTCGAAGACCAGAAAAGATCGGGGCGGCCGGCGGCAGTTAGGACTACAAAAGCTGTTAATGCTGCTAAAGCCAGAATTCGTCGAAACCCCATTAGGAAGCAAAAAATCTTATCGCGTGAAATGATTTCCGCTAGGACTTTTTCGCGTATTATAAAACAAGACCTGAAGCTCGGTACTTATCGTCGATATACCGGACATACCCTATATCAATTTTTATAATTAAAGAGTCTGGATCGCCTTCTGTGACGATACGCAGGTGAAAGGCACAGAAATATCCTGATGAAAAAAATTTCACGATTGAAGAACACTACAATAAGCAAAATGATAGTATACGCTCACAGTTCTAAAGAAGCTGCTCAAGTGATCGGAGAGGTACAATGTGATCCTTATTATGTGTCAATGATGGTTTGATAGCATGTGTCTTATCAAGGAGTCCCAAAACTACATTTTTGTGAAAAAGGATTGAAAACTGCAGTCAAAGTGTATCAAGATACAATTTTGGATCGTGTTGTGAAACTTCTCAGCAATACACTTTTTAAAAATAAGTACTTTCCAGTAGGATTTTGCACTTGGTCACATAAGGCATGAACTACTCAAGCTTGGTTTGAAACCAATGTGGTCCAGATCTCAACTCTTCAAACTTTAAATTATGGTTAGTTTTAGAGGACATGGCCTGCTATAAACGACACGGCGGCATTGAATCTCTTAAAAAAATCTTTGAAGCAAACAATGGCGAATTTGCTCCTGGAAACAGGGCGTAAAATTATAGATTCGTGATCAGACAGATTAAAGGCCTGTATAAAAGCTAAAGGGTCCATTTCGAATAGTTTTATTTTTATTTTTTGCTTTGATCTTAATAAATATGTAGGTATAAATTTTAGTAACATTACATGATTTCATAAAAAATGTATTTTCACATGAAACAGAACTTATGGTTGGACTAGGTATATATATACATATATATATATATAATTTATGTATGATAACAATTGAAAGTTGTGCGTACGTGCCTCGCAGGAAGAAGCTGCAGATCGCGAGCGCTGCCGGCGCGGCTGGAGCGGCGGGCGCGGCCGGCGGCGGTGGCGGCGGCGGCGGCGGCGTGGAGAAGCGGCTGCCGAAGCGGCGGTTCCCGTGGTGCGCGCGCGCGCGGGCGCTGGTGGGGCGCGCGGCGCGGCTGGGCGCGGCGGCGGGCGCGGCGCCGCACGCGCTGCTCGCCGCGCGCGCGCTGCCGCTCTTCCCCGCCGGCTTCGTGCGCATGCCCACGCTGCTGCGCCAGGCCGAGTCAGTACCGCGCGCCGCCCGCCACCCACCGCACGCGCGCACGCACGCACGCACGCGCACACGCACGCAAGCACGCACGCACGCACGCACGCACGCACACGCACACACTACACGCGCGCACGCACACTACACGTACACACACGCAAGCACGCACGCACGCACGCACGCACGCACGCACACGCACACACTACACGCGCGCACGCACACACGCTCACACAGACACGCACACGCTCACACACACACGCACACTCGCACACGTACACTCGCACACGTACACACACACGCACACACATACACACGCACGCACACATACGCACGCACACGTATACACACGCACACGCACTCACGCACACGCACTCACGCACACGTACACAAACTCCAAACAAACGAGACCACTTCGTCATACAACATTTTACCTGAGAGAAACTTTGTACAAAAATCGTTTGCTTGGGCATTTCTGTCTCATTTGTTTTTCTATCGTAAACCAGTTATGTGTTTCGGTTTGAAAGGTGGGATATGGCAGTGAATTTACAGGGTACAGAGGAATAACACCCGAGTCCTCAGGAATGGCAACGCATGGGGAGTATTATAAACAAAACAGTATGCCGTGTTATGTCCATGGTACTATTCATGTCTATGGGCGATGGTTACCACTTTCTATCGGGTGGATCATCAGCTTGATTACCATTCTAAGTTACATAAAAAAAATACAATTTTGTATGATAAATAGTTATGAGTGGTATAACTACTATATTTGTTCTGTCTTATAATTTCTACATCTTTTAATGCATAAACACTCGTTTTATTTATTAACTAGTACATCAAAATACCTTTTATGCTATAACTGATATAAACTAGTCAGCTAATTTGACAATTAGCTGACAAAAAATTGACCCGTTTTTGAGGGTCAATGCTCTATCTATAAATCTAAGCTCATATCGTACCGTCGCTATCGACTGCACCTCCACCACTAGTTATCAAGATAAGACTACCTGTTGATAATTACTGTTCTCCATCCAAGGATTGCCAGGAAGAGATCGCTCTTAGCGATAAGGCTGCCCATTGTTTTCTTTATGTAATATTTTGTATTTATAATAAGTTTGTTTTTTTTTTAATGGTAATCTTATGAAGGAAACATTAGTAAAGAGTAAACATTAGTAAATAAAGAGTATCTATGTGACCTGCTTCATTTCACATCTGTCGTCTCTCACTAGTGTTCTACCAACGTATACCGATATCACAAGCGGGGTTTCCACAACATTTTCAACTATTATAAAAGCCCATGTTACTCGCTAACCATATAACCTACAAACAAAATAAAACTTAAAAACGGTTTAGCAATTTTTCAATCAAATCTTGTTTTATAATTATAAAATTGAGTTTAAATTAGCAGACAAATCTTTGTTTTATTCCTTACCACTACCTACCAGGTACAAGCTATACTTTTTATACAAATAAAAATTATCAATCACTTAGAAGGAACAAACACATACAAAATTTCATCAATATTAATTAAACAATTTCAGAAATAACCACAAATTATTAAATACAAAAGAATTGTGCAGAAAACTGCTTGTTTCTGTTTCTTTGGGCAATTTCTTATAAAATTTTGCTCAGACTTCAACAAATTTTTGAGAAAAAAATTGCCAAATTAAGACAGTCATTCTCAAGTTTTATGCTTAACAACACAGTAAACAATTTTTCTTTTTAAGCGAACGTTTTGATATGTTTATGTTACTAAAACCTAACCTAATAACATATTGTCTATCTGTTACAGTTTAAAAGAAGTGAAGGCGACAGATTTGAAGAGACAGCGGCAGGGCTTGGCCTCTCAGCCGCCGCCCCCTACACCGTTCCCGGAACCCATACAATTTCCAAGCTCGCTCACAGTCACGGCCACCATAAAAACACCGACTGACAAAACGGAAGTCGCTATCAGTACAGAGGACAAAGATAAATCTAAATCCGACTCTGTTCTCGGCACAATCATGAACTCCTTCCATCTCAGTAAAGACTTAATAGTAGAAAAACCCGAGGACAGAAAGAAAGAAGCGGCCGAAAAGAGTAAAGAAGAATTGTACATTCCACCAAACAATATTGGCAGTATAACCATAACACCAGTACTCAACAACATGAAAGAAAAGAAAATGAATTCAGTCACAATGGAGAAGCAGAAAGAGTGTCTCATTAGAGTGAAATCGCCGGCAGCTTTAAACGAAATGGTGAAGAAGGATAAAGAGAAGCACAAGAGACAAGAGAAGAGTCATAGTAATACAAAAGAGAAGAGGGTGGATTCTCCTCTGCACATAGACACCAATTTCCAACTTAGCAAAAAGGATCCTAGTCCAAAGACCAAGGAAGAGGTAACGCAGAAGCAAATCGAGAATATGAGAGTGAATGAGAATAATATACCTAGACCGGCGTTAGTTCCAGTACATCATTCTCCAACGTTCGCGAAGCCGGACAAACGTCCTCCCGAGGTGAAGAAAAAGAAGGATGTATTAATAGTGTCCGATGTTGATCCATTAGGGGACGTACAACAAGAACCTGTCGCTATCGACGATAGCAGCAGTGACGTCGAACTAGTCGAGGACAAAATAGACAAAAGTGAACCTAAACGCAGTGAAAATAAAAGTGAAGTGCCTTCTAAGGACAAAGTGAATGCGCGAGACTCCCAAAAAAAAGTGTACAGTGAAAAAAGTGTGAGTAAACTTAAAGAGCGTGTCGGTTCAACGCAAGACGGGCAGAGAAACGAGACGGACGGACCGACGAATGAAGATATAGATAATTTAATGAGAAATATAAGTGAAATGGAGGTAAGTTATATTTTTTAAACATTCAAATGTATGTGTCATTAGAGGAAGCCATACCCATTTCTCGTTTCTCCATAAATCCTTCTTTCAACTTTTACTCACTCCAACATCCCCTTTTTTTCCTTAATCCTTTCCTATATACTGTAAGTTGCAAATACCATCAAGAAATGCATACTCAAGGAGTATTATGGTGAGGTAGGCGATCAATGGTAAAATCAAACACTAAAACACAAGGTATTGGTGTGGCCATATAATTAATATTATATTACAGTGGTCCCATAATTGGAATAAGGCTAGGAAGTTGATGATTAGAGGAAGTGAAAGAGAATTAAATCTACAGGGTACAGAGGAATAACACCTGGGTCGTCAGGAATGGCAACACATGGAGGTATCATGGGCGAAACAGTATGTGTGTGTACTGTTATGTCCATGGTACTGCTCATGTCTATAGGTGACGGTTACCACTTTCCATCAGGTGGGCCGTCAGCTTGTTTGCCGTTCTAAGTTGTAAAAAGAAAAGCTTTGGTGACATTTTAAGAGAGACACTGCTCCCTATTTTTATTCAACCATTAAGTTCCCTTAGTCGTCTCATAGGACTCCCAGGGGAAAGGAAGGGAAGTTTGCTGTACTATTATGGTTTTATTTCAATGTTTACTTATCTTGCACTGCTGTAATGTGCTTTGATACCCCTAGTCACCCCTTACAAGGCCCTAGGAATGAAAAGAAGTAGTAATGCACTTATACATTCTTACTCTGTCTTTATACAAATTGTCATTCTTTAGAACTGAGCTTATAACTCCTCTCACATATCACACACAACCTTCCAATACAAAGACTCTTGCATTGCTTCACCCTTATCCTCCCTTTGTCCTGCAGACAATTAGTAATTAATTTATGGATACTGTAGAACAGTGTTTTTCGACCTTTTTCATTACACGACCCCTAGTATGAAAAAATATTTTGCGACCCTCGATTTATTTTTTTGTCAATTTGTATTAACATACAAATGTTTTTATTGTCATTATTCTTTATAAATCTATCTTTATTATTATTATTTTTTACTGAGGTAGTTTTCGCGACTCCCCTAAAGAAGCTTCGAGACCCCATCAGGGAGTCGAGATCCACACGTTGAAAAATACTGCCATAGAGAATTTGTATATAAGTACTCTTATACCTCTGCGTCAGCTGTTTTTATGTCGCGGAACAGCTGGTCTTGCTGTTTTTGTGTTTCAGTTTGAGAGGTGGGATCTGATAATAAAATTACAAGGTATAGAGGCATAACACCTGAGTCTTCAAAAATGTCAATGCATGGGGAGTATCGTGGGCGTAACAGTATACTTTTTATTTTTTATTGTATACGTGTAGTGTATTGTACACGAAATATAATGTTAACCATAATTCATTTGAAACATAATGTACAAAGGCGAGCTTATCTCTAATAAGAGATTTCTTACAGCAAAACCTTTTCATGTAAATTGTATATTATTTTGAAAATAAAAACTACCTATATGGTACTGCTCATCTATATATATATATATATATATATATATATATATATATATATATATATATATATATATATATATATATATATATATATATCCGTCTATAGGCCACGGTTATCATCTTAGATTCTATTAGTTCTCAAGAATAGCAAAGCAGTGTACCCTGTTATGCACCTGAATCCTCAGGAATGGCAACGCATGGGGGGTATCATGGGCGAAACAGTATACTCTGTTCATGGTACTGTTCATGTCTATAGGCAACAGTTGGCATTTTCTAACAGATGGACCGTCAGCTTGCTTTTGCTATTTTGTCTAGTATAAATATATATATGGAGAGGGACCACAGAATATATTGCTAGCAATGAGACTCGTAGTCTGCATTACTAACAATCCCTTTTTTTTAATACGATTTAGAATGGCAAACAAGCTGACGGCCCACCTGATGGAAAGTGGTAACTGTCGCCTATAGACATGAGCAGTACCATAGACATTAAAGCGTATACTGTTTTGCCCATGATACCCCCTATGCGTTGCCATTCCTGAGGATTCAGGTGTTATTCCTCTGTACCCTGTAAATTCACGCCATATCCCACCCTTCAAACCGAAACACAGCCATGCAAACACAACTGCTTCACGGTAGAAACACGAATCGGACAGAGGTGCCCAAGCAATCGACTTTTGTACAAAGTCTCCCTCCCTATACATACATTTTGTATTGTAAAAATGTTTCATTGTAAAAATATATATATTTCAGCATTCACAAGAGCCTGCTAAGTTAAACAATAACCCATTTGGAGGGATTATAAGTAATGGTAAGTAATTTATATAATAAATACATAACATTGAATGTACGCAGCATGATTACCATTTGTCAAATGTCATTTCCTTGATATAATATAAATATATCCATAAACTTTGTATTTTTTTTTAAATATCTTCCTTATTTATAAAAATTAAAAACTATAAACCTATTTTAACTGTTACACAGTTTTGTCAATTTCTTTCATGACATGCAAAATGTAATTGTTGATCTTATTTGACTATATTTGACAAGTTTAGTCCAAATAGAATTGTGTCTGTTAACTAGACTCGATGTAAAATTGGAGCAATGATTTGAACGTGTAATATGTAGTATTATTGATTTATTGGTGATTTTTTTGCAAAATAAACTAATTATTTGTTTATTCAAGTATCTATTAAATTTTTTTTGTTTAATTCAATTCTTTTTCTTTGAATTTAATTTTATATAATATTAAAGTCAAACAACCAACATTAATGCTGTATCCTTATTTAATTAATTCATTAAATTTGCACGACTACAATTTTAAGGCAATTAATTGCCTTTTGGCATCTGTTAAAATGTGACAAATGTTAAAAGTGTGTTTAAAAGAAATAAATGTATAATTTCAAATATGGAATTTAATGTAAAAGGAAGGAACAAAACATTTCAATAGCTAAAATAGGTTTATTAGACCTTTAATGGTTTTTTTTTTTTTTATGGATAAGGAGGTAAGAAAATAGTGTATAAAAGAAATATTTGCCAATATGAAATCTAGCAACAGTATACATGGAAATCTAAACGTCTGTCTTCGAAACTAAAAGACGTGAACACAAAATCTTTACCTAATATTATAAATGTGAGATTGTTTGTTTGTTGCCTCTTGACGTTTTAAAGGCTAAACCGATTGAGATGAAATTCGTTATTTTTATTCGTCACGAAAATAGCTACTTTTTAGACCGCTCAAGAGGTTGTTCACTCATATCGTGAACACATTGAAAATTAAAATATTTTTAAACGTATATACAATGCAATACGTGTATAGAGTATTTTTTTAACAAACCCAATTTTGTAAATGTATTTTGACAAATGGTAAGTGATCGCTTTTATAATTTATCGTAACAAGTCACCACACAATTTTATATTAAAAACAAAAAAAAAGAAAAAAAAGAATAGTTACAGAGTCACGACGTTCTAGGAAATAAAATTAATATAGACGGTTTTTATTTTATTTTTGTTTTACGACAGAATTCATGACGCGGTAAATACCTTTATTACGGTAAATTATTTAAGCGCCCTTTAGCCATAAGAATAAATATGCGGGTAGAACCGACATTCTCGTGGAATCGATAATAATTACATTGGCGCTCTTATGGGCCATTTTTTGAAGAGCTAAATCGATCAGGACTTTCAAGCAATGTACACCGCAGTGAGAAGTTCCTCTCTCTCACTTGCACGTATACTTCGTGTCATAAAACTACCAGATTAGTTTACGTGTAATTTTTTTTAATCGGTGATAGTAGATAGAAATGGTAACCCCGCCTGCGCTAACGGTATATACTGGCGGGGCACCAGTGAGGGATGATAGGTGAGGATGATAAAGCAAGTCAGTTAGCCCATCGTAATGAATTCAACGAATAAATTAGTCACGATGGCTTTCAGGGGAAACCGCATAGAGGTCGACCTGATAACCGTATCAGGTCGACCACCCCCATATTGATAGCAATGAGGACTAACCTCCCCCACTAAAAATCCCTTCCCCCAATTTACGTGTGATTAGATCGAGAAAGCTCGACTAGTTTCGAGATTAATTCGTGATCCTTATTCATGAGTGGCTGTGATGCGAGCGCGGGTCTGACTGCGCGCCCCGCCATGCTGAGCGCGAGCTGTAGTTATTATAGAGCGATAGTATATTAAAAAATAATGTGCGGTTGTGGTGAACAAAACTTAACAGTAAAATTAGTTGTTCAATACGAACGAATTATGGCAACACTCACAATCTATTTGCGCAGTCTGGATAGAAAAATGCTATACATTTTGGTGGCATTGTGTCGCGTTATATCGTGAAGAGGGAGACTTTGTACAAAAGTCGATTGCTTGAGTCAGAGGTACTCATTCCCATTCGTGTTTCTACCGTGAAGCAGTTGTGTTTGCATGGCTGTGTTTCGGTTTGAAGGGTGGGATATGGCGAGAATTTACAGGGTACAGAGGAATAACATCTGAGTCCTCAGGAATGGCAACGCATGGGGGTATCATGGGCGAAACAGTATACTCTGTTATGCTCATAGTACTGCTCATGTCTATAGGCGACGGTTACCACTTTCCATCAGGTGGGCCGTCAGCTTGTTTGCCATTCTAAGTTGTATAAAAAAAAATCTTAAATTAGAAATAAATTTGTCAACCCCTTCCAACCTGTGCATGGCAACCAGGTCATTGTTTATGCTTTATAACGTTTACAAATGAAAGTATGAGTGTCGGTTCTACCTAGTACGTTTGTTCTTTAAGTCGGCGCGTATTGTAAACATGTAAAGTGGATTTTTGTCAATCAGCGCGGCACGAGAAGTCTTCCAAGCAAGCGTTCTCGCGGAATGCTATATACGGGGAGCCACGTAGCGATAAAGACAAATTGTAAGTTATGTCGCTTGCGCGCACCACATACGTTGCAGCTTACAAGAACTCTTAGATATCTCTCCTTCTATTTTGGGGTTATAATGGATATTCAGTGTGCAGTATTTCCGAACCGATACGACATCATAACCTTCAAGAAAAGAGTATATTCCTTTTTAAAAGTCCGGCAACTTTTTAAAATCTGCAATCCCGTTGGTGTTGCGGGTGATCATGGGCGGCGGTAGTCACTTACCATCAGGTGAGCCGTATGCTCGTTTGCCCCGTGTTGTAAAAAAAAATATTCTTTTTTTTTATGACAACCCTTCTTTTCTTCCTCTTAAAAGAGGATATTAACCCACTCTTATCTATATTTTTAATACCATACCATGTTAGCCATTAACTGTCCACTACTGAACGTAGGTTTCCCCCATAAGGGAGGTTTTGCCAGTAGTTGCCACACTTGGCAAATGAATTGGTAATGTTGTCATATCCAACATTTATTTGAAAATTTCTTTTAAAGACAACTTCTGTTTAATATTAAAAATATATGTAACCGTGTGGTCCCAGTATAAAATGGTCCATCCCTGGGTACCGTAAGAGGCGACTAAGGATACTTAATATTCGAAGGATGGGCAGCAGCGTCCCTCTTAAAACAACACCAAAACCTAATTCCGGTAACCAATTCGACTGACAGGCGTGGTAGTTACGGGCAAAACCCTCCCTATGGCTCCCCCATGTTCCTGCCGTTGTTCAGCAGTGGACAGTTATCTTACTGCTGATAGATCGATGTTGACACGTACAAATGTTCTCGTCCTCATCCATACCCAAAATATTATAAATCTTAGTGTTTTTGTTTAACAGCTCAGCTAATCGTCTAAAAGTGAGCTGAGCTGAGACGTACCATTTTAGATGGAGAAAAGCTTAACCCTTTCCACTCCAATGTCGAGGGTCACTCGACATTGATTTTGTACCATACCAAAAGGGATTATAAAGATTAGAATTAAGAATTATAATATAGTATCCTGTAATTACTCATAAATCAATTTTATTTACAAAATACGAAAAAGCCCCTAAAAGTTAAAAAAAAAAACGCAATTTTAGCGTGGAGCTGGTGGAATAAAAAGAAAAAAAGGCTTGGAGTGGAAAGGGTTAAGCCGCTCTCTATCTTTAACAATCAATATTTCTCGATCACGCGACCGAAGTCGCGGGTCTAATTTGGTACGATAAAGTTATTTCATCTCAGCCATTATCCGTCCACTGCTGGACATAGGCCTCCCCCATAAACTGCCATAAGGAACGGTCCTGAGCCACCTGCATCCACTGACTCTCTGCAATGCATTTGAGGTCGTCACTACGTCTAGTGGAGGGCAGGCGTTCTACACTGCGTTTCGCCATATGGCGTCGCCACTAAGAACTTTTATTCCCTATCAATTGTCGTTTCTTCAAGCTATGTGACCATAACATTGCCACTTCAATAAATTTAATAAATAATGTTAATTTGCTACAACTAGTTGTAGACGTGGCCAGCACTCAGCATTATGCCATGGCAGTTTATTTACAGCCTCAGCGCTGGTCTGTGCAAACTACACAGTCACTTCACAGATGACTACTTCCAGTTTTAAAAATTTAAATTGCACATTAGAGGGAGATTTTGTACAAGTCTTTTGCTTGGCTACCTCTGTCCCATTCGTGTTTCTACCGTGAAGCAGTTGTGTTTGCATAGCGTGGGATATGGCAATTAATTTACAGAGTACAGAAGAATAACCCCTGAGTCCTCAGGAATGGCAACGCATGGGGGGTATCATGGGCGAAACAGTATACTCTGTTATGTCCACGGTACTGCTCATGTCTATAGGCGACGGTTACCACTTACCATCAGGTGGACCGTCAGCTTGTTTGCCTTTCTAAGTTGCATAAAAAAAAAACTTAAAAAAAATCTTAAGAATATCCGTTACAACCCTAACATCGACAATAGGTCGTACATTATCGATATAACACCACACAGTTGCTGCTTTGAGAAGTATTGTAATAATAATAATATTTCGACGCGACCATTGCCTCCGGTGTAGGTGTGTGTTTTAATACCTCTTATTATCACTTTTTCTTTTCGCACTTGCTTTTCTATGTAAATACGCTGCAATATGTACCATATAGAATATGTACATAGAGTTTATTATGGCTCCATTTTATTGTATAGCCTTTAGTAAGGTTTCTGTTATGTTTATCGTAATTTAGTTTTAGGTACATTATGACACTTATAAAGACGTAAAACTTCCGGTAAACAGTATTAAGTTGAATGTAACGCAAAGCCTTTTAAAAAAAAATGTTTTTCAAGTGTATTGCTTTATTTAAAAATTTGACAAAATAATCGATTCTGAAACACCATTGTCTATATCTATTTTAAAATGGAAATCCAAATTTGTAATTCCATATTACTGCGCAATTATTCTAAGATCCAGTGTAAAGACAGTTTTACTACAAAAAAAGAAAACAGATTTAAAAAATAGTATTTTAATTATTTATTTCTAGTGTTTAACGAAATTACCTAAGTTATATTCAGTCAGATCTAATAACTTATTTGTGTTTTTATGTGTAAAAATCTATACATTATTATAACAAGGTTTATTACTTTAAACACCTTTTATTTTTAATAACATACACCTTCTTTTGCGGTAAGACAGTAAACGTAAAGTATTATTATTAAGAATTACATATAAAGCTGTTCTGATGCATTACAGTAAGATCTCGATTATCCGAATCAAATAAACCCAGTACATAATCGAAAATCCGGATAATAAATTACAAAGTAAAATCAAATAATAATTAATATATATATATATATATATATATATATATATATATATATATATATATATATATATATATATATATATATATATATATATATATATATATATATATATATATATTTATTATATATATATATATACTTTCTTACACTTATATTGTTAATGCATTTATAAATGTTATGAGTAAGGGTGGACTTATCTCTGACAGAGATCTTATCCAGTCAACTCAATACAGTTAGAAAACAATATAAAATTTTAATATTATGTAAAAGTTTTTACTATTGTCACTTAGACAATAAGATATAAAAATATTACAAGCCATAAAGATAATGGATTATATTATACCATTTTTAAATCGATATTTATAGCAGTAAAGAATAAATCCGGATAATTGAATATTCGGATAATCGAGATTCTACTGTCTTTCTAGACTGTCAAATTAAAATTGTAAATTTAGAGATAAATTTTGAAAATGGTACTTCGGAATCGACCCCATTGTCACACTATTACTCGAAGTCGCCACTTAATAATTAACATACACCTTAATATCCGTCTAAGTCAGTGTTTTCCAACCTTTTTTGTGCCATGCCCCACTTGAACATTACAAAAATTTTTAAATACATAATTTTTCCCCACAAAGTTTACTTGACGACTCTAATCGCCCAGTTGGTATTTTGGTAACGTCAAATGAAATTATACCTAATAAATATTTACAGCATTTTTTTTTAATTTACTTTTGTTAAATTAGCACCGCTATATACTCGTAGAATTGCATTTAAATGGCCCGGAGCAAGAGGGTTAAAATCGCTTCGAGTCCATTTTTTAATTGTCCTTCCTCCCCCCCTTAACTATCAAATTGCCCCCTTGTGTAGTGTGGGCCGCACGTTGGGAAACACCGGTCTAAGTCATTAACAAAGGCGTCCATAATTGTTGGACTCACCACTGAATGCATTAACAAAAATTATTGCGGCAAGTTCCCATTTCTTAACAAAACACCATATTTCTTATCAAACACGTGTGACCTTGGAGTGTTTTATTGCTTATTAACCGATTTCTAAAAAAAGTAAATTCTCGATTCGGTTGTATTTTTCTTTTATGTTTGTTACCACCTTTTTAACTCCGTCAGTTGTAAACCTATTTGGAATTTTTTTTTATCTCAAAGTATGTACTTATAGATTGGTCCCAAAGAAATTTAGTTCAATAATTAAATCTTGAAACCAAAATAACTACTTGTGCTACATTTGAATTTGTTTTTTTTTTTTGTGAAACGCAATTTGAAATTATTTATTTATTTATTTTTTCTTGACGACTATAGTAAATCCCTTTGTTTCAGCGTAGAACGAACTTCTTTGAACAAAATGGATGGATGTAGTGCCATCACAGGTGAGAATTTTTCTTATGTAGTTAACTTATGTGTTTGCATGGCTGTGTTTCGGTTTGAAGGGTGGGATATGGCAGTGAATTTACTGAGTACAGAGGAATAACACCTGAGTCCTCAGGAATGGCAACGCATAGGGGGTATCATGGGCGAAACAGTATACTCTGTTATGTCCATGATACTGCTCATGTCTATAGGCGACGGTTACCGTTTTCCATCAGGCGGGCCGTCAGCTTGTGTGCCATTCTAAGTTGTATAAAAAAAACTGTGGTATTGCGGTACTGCATTGCCTCTCCTTCGATGTCGCGGGTTCGATTCCCGCACAATACTATTGTTCTGAGTAGTTTATATCCTATTTTCGTAATAAATATAAGGATCGAACGCTCAAGCTGTGAAAGGAGCTTCCTGCTGAAGTTTTCGCTAGAGACTACAGTATGGGGTTCTTTCATAAGTATATATTTCTTCAGAGTCAGCAATGCGCACGTGATACCCCTAGTATTGCAGGCGCCCATAGGCTACAGTGACCGTTTACCATTTATTATTTATAACAAACTTTTGTACTTTTTTTATACTACGAAAGTGGTAAACAAGCCATACAGTCCGTCTGATGGTAAACGTTCACTGTAAACTATGGACGCCTGCAAAACAACCTTAAAACAACCTTAATATACCCTTTTTGAAAAACCCCATACTGTAGTCACTAGGAAAAATCTCGGCTCATTCCAAAGCCTGACCTATCGAGAAAAATCATTAGGGGAGTTTCCTAGTAGTTACCACGCTTGGCAGACATATTGGCAACCGCAGTCAGGCTTTGGTGATGTTTTAAAAGAGACTGCTGCCCATTCCTCTATAATTAAGTGCCCTTAGTCGCCTGTTACGACACCAACGTGAAAGGAAGGAAAGGTCCATTCTATGCTAGAACCACAGGGCTAGCGTAAAGTCCATAGTCCTCACGATTGGTAACGCATGAGACTTATTGTGGGCGTTACAGTATATACTATGTAGTTCCATGATGTCGACTGTATGTCTATTTTTGTCTATAGACGACGGTTGCCACTGTCCATCTGCCCATCAGCTAGTTTTCCATTCCAAATTGCATAAAAAAATATCTTTTTTTTTATACAACTTAGAATGGCAAACAAACTGACGGCCCACCTGATGGAAAGTGGTAACCGTCGCGTATAGACATGAGCAGTATCATGGACATAACAGAGTATACTATTTCGCCCGTGATACCCCCCATGCGTTGCCATTCCTGAGGACTCAGGTGTTATTCCTCTGTACCCAGTAAATTCACGCTAAATTTTGTTCTAAATCTTGTTTCTCTCATTTCAGGTTGATGCAAAGGTTGTTTCCGAAGATATGCCAGGTTGTTACAAGGATTGATAGACTATTTATATAGGCAAGGACAATGGAAAAATAATGTATGGTCACGCGGGACGACGCTGTTTTACCGAGATGTATGTTATTATTTATCGATCATTTATCCAAATGTCAGGTGATAAGTATTAAAAAAACTACATACATGGAGTATTTTTACAAAATTTTTCGACTTAGCTATATATATAGGAACTATTTTACTACTAATGAAATATCGCCAAAGTCGAAGTTTTGCTCTTCTACGTCTAGGTGGAATGTATTTAAACAATTTGAGTATTTAGAGATAGGTGTATTTTGAGACTAACATTTTAAATTACGCCCTAATGTTTAGTTTCTTTCAAATATTAATTTAAAAGAGTTATATTGATTTTTAATACAAATACTAGTTGTGTCTATCATGTTAACCTTTCTTTTGGGAACACAGTCATCCAGTACATTTTAAATATATTGTAAAAATAGATAGATAGATAATTTATTTGCATCACTTACAGCACACAAACAGCAAAAGACACAAATGCAAAGTGAAAAAAGATACAGGTACAAAATAAAAAAAAAAATCAGAAACAAAATCAGAATGCATAAAATTAGTAACAATTGTTTTTTTTTCTTCATGCGTATGCCACAGTAATACAAAATGGCCACAACTCAGCTTTTTGCTTTGCCCTAAAAAGAGCAAAACACTGATATTCTGTTGTGGTCAAAATATTCAGTAATAAGCGGGTATCATATGTTTGTAATAACTATGTATGTTCAATCTATGAATATGGCAGGCAATTTACAGGGTACAGAGGAATAACACCTGAGTGCTCACGAATGGCAACGCATGGGGGGTATCATGGGCGAAATTGTATACTCTGTTATGTACATGGTACTGTTCATGTCTATAGGCGACGGTTACCACTTTCCATCAGGTGGGCCGTCAGCTTGTTTGCCATTCGAAGTTGTATAAAAAAATATAATAAAATTATAACTATGTCTATACATGAGAGATTTTTAAGTTAATATGAAAGGGTCTTAAAAAGGCCAATATATGCCAAAACAATAATTTTACAATTTTCATCTATATGTTTGTTTGTACGTCACGCAAAACATAAAATCTGGTATATGTTTTATATTAATACGTCATCAAGAAGTAGTATTGGTTTTTCTACTTCTGAAATCCGCGCGTACGAAATAGCGGGCAAAAATTAAGTTTTTTTTTTATATACTTATGCATGATTTTTTTTTTATATATATGTATATTTAATAATTTTAGCTCGTTTACACGGTGATTTGTGTTGATTACAGACATTCAATATTCCCCCCAAAATAAAATTATTCATAATTATTTTAATGTTTCTTAGAATGTAATATTTTTCCGATTTTGATCATTATTTTTTAATCGAAAATTTTTACTCGTATGCTGATCTCATTGTAATTTTATCAAAATTATGTATGTAGATTTTTTATGGGACAAATGATCGAAAATATGATAAATGTGACCGTTTGCACGCTGAATGTTCTATAGGCGTCTAAACTTAGTGATAACTTGTAGTCCATGCCCACTAGTGGGACGTGACGTGGACACGAAACCTTACGATATTAGCATGTAAATATTTCTAGGAGATTATTTTTTTATATTATCACGCAACGGTTCGCGCTTGTCGAAAACAATGTCTCGTTGAAGCGGCGCCAGATGTCGTTTTTTGGTTTTTAATTATTTGTACACTGCGATATGTTCATTTTACAATATATTATGCTAGGTTTGTAAAAACACGTATTTTGTATAGTTTTACACAATTAATTTTGTTTTATGAACGGTTTCCTTATTGAGACGCGTTTGAATTGAAACAGTTATGTCGTTCTCAGTTCGGAAACCGATCTCCCTTCTCGCTGCTCCACGGTAAGTGAGGCAACACTACAATGCTGGTATGCCTTGTTTTAATTTACCTCGCAAGGATTTTAATTATTATTTGTCGGATGAGACTAACCACATAAACATCAAAAACGTTTTATCTGAATAAACATATTTTAAATTGTAATTAATTAGAATTATTTTGTTTAATTCCGCCACACATTAGTATGTGTGCGACTGGCAACACTCGAAGATTTATTACTATTATTATTATAAGAAGTTCTATATACAATATGGAATATTAGCTATTAATGTAAACGTGCATGGACTGAAGCCTGGACAGTCATACGCGATATTTTAAATATATATATATATATATATAGTGTATGCTCTATATAAGCAATTAATTTGAATCAATTTCAATAAAAAAAAATCTAATTGGGAAAAGTTGCTTATAGGGGAAAAAAGAGTATAAAAATACTTACCGTTTGGAAAATATTTTTACTTTTTTAATAAGCTAAATAGAATAAATAAAATATAAAGAATTTTGCTTATATAGAGCGTTAACTGCATATTATTTTGTGGTCTATGTTATAAAATAATAGAAATGTAGGCATTTCTATAAATTTTTAAATGCTTTTTTTTTTTTATATTTATCTTCATTATCATTCTGTTTTGCTTTATGCATAGATTAAGGATACCTGTAGATCCAAATTTTAAGTATTTTAACCATCAAATAGGATAAAAGTTTCCAAAAATGTATAAAGAGAGGAAAAAGTCCTTTAGTATGTTTTATCACATTGGACAATTTGAAAATCTTGAAACATAACAGGTAATTGCATGTTGAATCCATGTCTTTAAAAATAAATTTATGTTACCTTGATTGCAATTAATTATTATGAACTGTTGATTATTTATTGATTTTATTTATTATTATACTTAATTATTTATTGTGTCATAAAAAAAAATTCGTATTAAATTAGATTTAATTCAAATTAAGAACTAGTCAATCTTTTCATTACATTCTTTTTACACACTGGCATCTATTTGCAATTTATATAGTTTAAAAACCATGTCTGCCACTAGTATTGTAAATGTCAAAGGATGTATATCTCAATCCACAGTTAAGAACGTTCATATACGTATTTACTAGAGGGAGACTTTGTACAAAAGCCGATTGCTTGGCTACCTCTGTCCCATTCGTGTTTCTACCGTGAAACAGTTGTGTTTGCATGGCTGTGTTTCGGTTTGAAGGGTAGGAATGGCGTGAATTTACTGGGTACAGAGGAATAACATCCGAGTCCTCAGTCAATTGTAAATGTTGCCACACTAATGTAAGCTAAAGTTGCCAACGCTCGAAACAGTTGACGTAATTTATTTATTTATTTATTCTTTATTGTACACAAAAAAAAATTACAAATTTATAATTTATATTAAATGAAGATGTACAACAGGTGAGGTTAACTCTGTAAGAGTTCTCTTCCAGCAAATTCTGAATGGAAAGGAGCATTAATTTGATACACAAGATGATGTTACATGGTACACTTGTAGTTTACTATTTTAATAGTTTAATACGTAGATTATTTTATATACCAACCTACGCAGGCAAAGTTGCTGGCCATTTGATGATTAATTTTTTTTTTTTAATATCAATTGCATCTAAAGATTGATTTCATTTCTGTATATATTTGATTGTTTCTCGTCGCTTATTGTTTTAAAGGAATGTTTTAGGAAGGAATTATTATGATTTTATTATTTTCAAGAGATATATATATATATATATATATATATATATATATATATATATATATATATATATATATATATATATATATATATATATATATATATATATATATATATATATATATATAATGTAATAGGCTAAGTTTTCGCCGCTGATTCTGCATGTGTAAAACTTTTTAATAAAACTATATTTATATGAATAATGAGGAAAAATATAATAAAATACAGGGTTGCCTGCTCTCAGTCTCAACCTAGGGTTGCCAGTTGAAAATAGGTAATTATTTTGTTAAATTTGATAAACTCATCTGTGTTTGACAAGATTTACACCAAATTCAATTATTCTTTTCTACACACATATGGTTAAAAAATAAGACTTAAAAAATGGGCCGCAATTCAGTGTTGCCAGCATCTGGTTTTATTCTAGTTAGTTTAATTGTCCGCTGTAATTGTAGCATAGTTACAGCGGACAATTTAATAAAAAAAAAAAAAAAATAATTTTGATGAGATTGTCTAAAAACTTTGTATTATTATTGTATCAGCCGTTGACTGTCCAATGCTGCCTCATGCAATGCCTCCCCCATAGGGGAGGGGGTTAATTTTTTTTTAAACTGTTCAATGAAACTATTTTTTTTAGTACGTTTGTTCCGTTGTGGAACAGGCTAAGGTCGGAGACCATGCTGCCTATTTCAATATGATAATTTGTCTGTAATATGAAACTTAATGAAAAGGTAACTCTTAAGTTTTTTTTTTTTTTATTGTCCCAGGAACACTCCTTGAATGAAATTAATAATAAATCTGAACATTCAATGCATCTGATTTTATTTGTACTAAGTCTTGTATATTAGCAGACTGTCTTAACATCTAGTCAATTGGTAGTTTGTATACATTTTCGTTAAGTTCCATCGAGACAGATTATAAAAATATGTTAACCTTTAATGAATCTGTTATAATAACAAATGCACAAGAATGTCTTTATAAGGATCAAAGCAAATGGATGTGGTTAGGTCGCTGTTTTTAATTGCTGTGTCAACAGGAGTTGAGGTCAATACTGATTTATTAGCAATATTACTAACAATTGCATTACTAAAAACTATATTTTGCCCAATGATCAATTGTGCATGGCGATGTGATTTGTACCTTAATTCTTGTGGATACAGTTGCAATTATAGGTGCCCCGCGTGTTATTCATAAAAACAATCTTCTTTTTATATTTCAAGTTGTAAATTTATTATTTTTAAAACTTATGTTACTTTTTTTTAATTATATCTATATGTATATGTAATGGGAGTTATGTAATGGCAATATCTATATATTTCAGTTAAAATATGTATATATATAGGTCTAATAACGAATATGTTAAAAGTCTATTATCGATTGCTTGGCTACCTCTGTCCCATTCGTGTTTCTACCGTGAAACAGTTGTGTTTGCATGGCTGTGTTTCGGTTTGAAGGGTGGGATATGGCGTGAATTTACAGGGTACAGAGGAATAACACCTGAATCCTCAGGAATGGCAACGCATGGGGGGTATCATGGGCGAAACAGTAACTGTTTTGTCCATGGTACTGCTCATGTCTATAGGCGACGATTACCACTTTCCATCAGGTGGGCCGTCAGCTTGTTTGCCATTCTAAGTCGTATAAAAAAAAATATTGTATAACGTTTAACATATAAAAAATAGATATCAGATCTGTATCCATATTACCCCATGTTTGTCGTTTCCGAGACGAGACGAGACGCTCTGACGCAAAACGCCGTACTCTCTCTTTCTCTAAAGATTTCCGTATGAAGTCGATTGTAGGAAACGACAAACGTAGTGAGTTCATATAATTCCCGCTGTAAATATATCGTCATAGTCGTAGAATACTGACGGATCTATATATGTAATATTCGTCAGATCCGTCAGTATTCTACCACTATGACGATATATTGAGAATTGTGAAAAAAAAGGCTTAATTTCTTAATAGCTAAAATAGGTTTTATAAACGTTTGTTTTTATGAATTAGCGGTATATCTATGTTTTGTACATATAAACCGTGGAGCAGATTTATTTTTTAATAATAATGTAAACCCCGCGAGAGAAATATATAGTGACTACGGACAATTGGTTAGTTTCATTGTGTTCTGTAATTATGAACACTTATTTAAGAATGTTTTAATCCGACGATTCCAAATTATGCCCAATGTAATAATTATGAATAAATATTTATAATGAATAGAAATTATATTTTATTTTTCATTAATATCTACGTAATGTTTTAAATTCTTATACCTCAAATTGCAAGCATACGGTTCGGCTGATGGGAATTTACCAAAGTGAGACTTTGAATCGGTGCTTCGGTACCTTTGTATTGATCGTGTTATTGCCACGAAGCAGCTATAATTGCATGGTTGTGTTTCGGTTTAAAAAGAGTTTAATTCTACCCTTTAAATGGTACAAATTCTGTACACCTTTCTTCAACAATTATACTTCTGCCCACGCGGGGCAATTGACAGTTGTACAGTCAGCATCCAAAGTTTATGAACGCGTAACCACAAATTTCCGTAATCATCGTGTGCATAAGTAACTCAAAGATTTTTGCTACAATTAGATCGTATAAGATAAGCTACAGAGAATAGGAGTTTTGAAAAAAATAATGTCACTACTTTTGATGCTGACTGTACATTTCACGTGTCACAATAATGTGTATAGGAAACGACCAGGTGGGAAAGTTGACCAATGAAACACTGAACGTGTGTTTATGAATATTTTTTTTATTAATTTCACAAAAGTATTCATTAAAAGCCACAGTTTGAAGGCTTTTAAGCTGTCAAAGCGATGTCGGTACATGTATATTACACATTTTCCATCTTTTTACTCAACAGTGAGCTAGAAAACGAGTTCGGAAGCTATCTAGTAACTACATATAAACGTTTACACTTTATAGAAAATATCGACATTGTCCGATAAAGGCAGTCCTTGCAAAGCTTGCGACTCACATCTATTGCGACTATACGCGCACACACGCCACCAACCGTCGGTCGCTTGTGTGCACGTTAATATAATTTATATAATTTTGTATAAATAATGACTTATTCGCTTAATTTTAACGTGTGAATAACACTATTTTTACGTATAATAGAACAGCTCAGTGTATCATTTATACTGATTTTTATATATATAAAATGTGAAGCGACACTGATTCTAATATTTGAAATATACTTCGAAGCTAGTTTGTGATTTCTAAACGAACGCCTTACACTAAAATGATAGACGAAAATGACCTTTCAAATAATAATAATATACTACCTAAAACGAACAAATATTGCTATTTATTCAACACCGTAGTCCACCATATACCTTACGTGATATTAAAGTCATTTTCTCTATCATTTGATATACGATTACTTATATTTTGTTGAAGTGTATAGACACAAAAACATTAAGTACATACCGTTCCTTGCATTAATTCGGAACAACGAGTTCTTTAGGGTCCCAATTCGCTCTTACTTTACATCAAAAAACTGCATAACAAAAAGTACGCTACGTCCCTCCATCTTGAATCGGCCATTTCGTTTAGAACTATTTACACAAAATGGCGGCTTGAACCGTTACAATTTATCTACATTTGTATAAGTTGTTTACTTTAGGATATTATAGGTATGTTGTATAAATATATATTTATTGAAAGCTCAATGTGTTCCTAACACCCTTGTTATATTGAGGTTATGATTCGAACATTAGAAACTTGTAGTTTAACCAAAGCCTGTAAGGTAATTGTTACCATCAATGAATCGTATGATGGCGTAAATATAGGTACCTATTTTACTCGACTTTGGTTATACCACTGTTACCATATGCATGCAAATTTGTAATATACTATAACAAAATAAGCTTAGTTCTTTATTAGAACACCAAAAAACCGCGGGATATCCCAACAAATTTATGCCCAAAAAGCTTACTTCATACAAGTATAAACATTAAGTACATGCGGTGAAATACAAAAAATATTTATCTTTCGCAATCGAACTCTCAAAATTTATATTTCTTACAAGCTTAAGCAAAAATAAACTCTTTATCTATATAATCAATAGGGTCCTATTCAAATCTCATTTTAATATGCTACAACAACGCGTATATTCGCGTTGAGGATAAATACTTAGTTACAAGTGAATAACCTTATTTCTAAGTTCATACCGTGCTCGATACCAAACCATTTTCCAGCGATTGTCACTTTAGTAAGGTCTGTTTGTTCTTACTTGGCATATTCAGTGAGTAATCTTAGCATGTCTTTTTATCGAATAAAAATGAAATGGACAAAAACGATTTAATTATAATTAATGCAAAAAAGAGTTTTAATTTTGTAATTTCAGAAAAAGAAATGTCAAAATTAATTACTAATTATGCCAAGAATAATAGATTATAGGAAACAACATAGACTTATACTAAAGGTGTGATTGAAAATCATTGCTACCAATTAATAATCAACACTAGAAACACTTAACATAAAATTGTTCTCCACTAACGAAATTGTCACTAATATTCAAAGTGCATTGTGATCAGCTGGAAATATTATAGTTACTACATGGTTTATATAAGTTTATATAATAATAACTATCATGACTATCAATTAACTATATCAATTCAACCAAGCAATTAATTATATATATAATATTTACGCTAACTATCTTGTGGTATAGGCAGAGAGCACTGAGTGCTATATACCTCTACTATTAGCCTTACATCTTTGCTTTGTCCAATTTTACACCAAATTCTTCTCACCCATATACACGGTTCTGGAGACTCTTGACTCCTACTACAGATAGCACTCTGTCTATCTGATCATTTCACTACAGACTATGTCTCCCCCGATGCCAGCGCCCACCCACTTCGTCCGGCTGTTTCGTCAACCTTTCACAGGACTGTCTTTGCTCGAATTCTCAAACCAACGTAACATACCTTTTCTTATTTAATACCGCCCCTTTTATACCGACTCGCTCCCGTCTCCATAAATGTCCTTTATTATAAATGCCTAGGTATATAGTCTAATTTTTATACTTGGCATCTTTGATAAACAGTGTGCCAAGAATAAAAAATAGTTTATATTGAATTATTTAGTGATGTGCACAATATTTTTTTTTTTTTGCAATACCAATTTTTACTGTTATTTTTATTGATTATTCATTTTACATAATCATAGACTCTGAACATAGAAACTGATAGTCAATTTCATATTGATAGCCATTATTAAAAAAGTTACATAAAATTGATATTTCAAACGCTTACTTCCAAACCATTAACTACCTTATAAATTAACGACAAAGTTTACAATTATTTACAAAGTACTTGGAAGTACCCGCCACTGTCCTAACCAATTAATACTATCTTTCATCTTAATTAATTTTACATCAAATCTATTTAAACACCGATACTGACGACAAATTAATTGGAACGACCAATCTCCGTTTTATTTCATATCAACTATCGCAATATACAAAGCATAAATTACTACTGGACTAGGAATTATAGGTAACTTCATTAAATATGTTTAATAGAAAACAAATATTTATAATTTGTTTTGTAATAAAAAAAATTTTTATGTAAGTAAATGGCAATTCAACAAAAAATGTGCTTTCGAATCGAAGTGCTCGAAAAGGATATCTCATAGGATAGTAAGCTTTTCAACCTGTAATCTATTTTTCTATTCTTGACAGAAATTAATAAAATTTATTAACTAATAATTAATGTGAGTAATTAAGCGAGTATTACAATTGTTTATGTCAGCTTTACTCACTTATTGACTTCGGAGTTGCTCTACTAGTTTCGGAATTGATTGGAGAACTCATTGGCCGGATTCACGGCTATATTCATAAGTGTTCCTATATAGTCCGAAATTAGTCGCGCAATCCCGAAGTTATACTCACGTAAATAAAGCCGATATAAATTATTAATCTTATCTTCATTTTTAACGCTTGTATACATTTAAATATATAATCACGTAATCTATTAATAATAATAATAATAAAAAAAATAGCTACCTGTATTTTTATTTGTATATGTTTGTTCTTATTTAGATAAAGAATGTATCGCAAAAGTACTGTGTAAATGTGTCAAGTATAGAAAAAATAGATTATACTAAATGATACATTGTTTATTTTTTTTTTATATATAAAAACCTAGTGTCTTACATGGCAAGTTGAATGCTGATTCAAATTAACTAGTCAAAGCATTATGAAAGATTGAATAAAGACATTAGAGGGAATATAGACAATAGATATTACATTATTATACTCGTATTGCTTACGAAATATTAGTTTTACAAGCGTTTATCGCTGTATTTAAAAGAATTATTGTTTCGAGTACTTATTTATCAAGTTGAGAAAAAATATATAACTTATTATTTGCTTACTACAAATTATTCATTTATTCATGATGAGAAAGGCAAAGGAACTGAGCCATATAGCCACCTTCCGCTTATCTTTTGATGTTGGCAGCACTGAAAATCGTTCCTTTTTTTATTATTGTTAAAAAGTTAAGAGCTAAATTTATATATACGTTTTCGAAGTACCCACATTGTAGCTCAAAGAAATAACCGCATTAGTACTCAAAACATTAATTATTTTATAATAATTTTAGCTGTATGTAAAGATTGTCTTTACCTATTTTGCTGAGTGCGTAAGCTTATTTGGGTAAACCGAGTATATTTAAGTCTTAGCACGATAATGTCGATACAATTGAAACACAAAACACCTGTACACAATTTTATGTGCCCACGTGTTTTGATGTTTCAACAGTTTAAACTTTCACTGCCCGTTTCCCTTCAGTAACTATAAGATTATAGTTTATTGTCGATGGTGCCAAAATCCTATTGCTTCCTATACCAACACAAGAACTAATAATATCTATTTATAATTTATCAATAATTACATTATTGGTCATTATTCTTCGAATGCTATTAAATTCTTCTTGTTTGTTATTTATTATTAATTGAAAACATGAATTTACTTGTTATTGTATAATAGACGATAAAAAGTAATTAAATTTGCTTAATATTAACTCAAGATCCATGTAATGTTTGTGATTTAAGGTTTAAAATTAATGTCAAAAGTAAGCGTCAAATTTCAAATTCGAATTTAGAATCCACGTAGTTTACTTTTAAGAACTAATAGTTTAATAAAAAAAAAAACAATTACACATTTAAAATTTAAATTTTTTTCTTTATAGTACTTGCAAGAGTTCAAATTATATTGTGGTATTCGTGTGGTCATAGTGGTTGATGTCTCAAAATATAACATATATTTTTATGTTATTTCAGTATACTTGCATATATCTACACAGAAACTACTGTCATGATATATTGTAATTAAATCCATCTCAAACAAACAGAAAAACCAACTTACTATATTAGATATACATATTTTCTGTGATTACAATATTCAAGTCCGTTTACATTTTATTTTTATATATATATATCATATAAATATAAAAGCGTCTTTAATTAAAATCAATGTAATATCTATTTATACAAAAAAAAAATCAATAAAAATGATATTCATCACTACCCTGCCCGATTGTTTGTTTCTCCATCATCACTATATTGGGAATGGCAAACAAGCTGATGACCCTATAAGTGGTAATCATGGCAAGCGACGTCTAGGATATCGATCTAGCGATTTTACCTCAACGGGCAAAAATATTTACCACCCTTTTCAATAACCATCTATTTTGTCGCTTTAGACTAAATCTAGCCCTGATTTTTCATCCACAGTACTCGTGTATTGCCACTCCTAAAAAACTAAAGACTTTTGTTTAGCTTAATAAAACATACAAATTTTAATATCTTATGATACTTTTAAGATATACTCACGCGGGCAATTCAAGTTGTGGAATGCTAGGCAATTAATTTAACCGCTTAGATTTGTATAAGCAGTTGTTACCATGTCCCTAGCGTCCGTCTCAAACCAAAAAATTTATATTGTACTTGATTTTTTTTAATATTCTGTAAACTCTAACATAATTTTAAAATATTTTAAATATTTTTTCTATTTATTTTTATGCAACTTAGAATGGCAAACAAGCTGACGGTCCACCTGATGGAAAATGGTAACCGCCGCCTATAGTCATGAGCAGTATACTGTTTTGACATAACAGAGTATACTGTTTTGACCATGATACCCCCCATGCGTTGCAATTCCTGAGGACTCGGGTGTTATTCCTCTGTACCCTGTAAATTCATTGCCATATCCCACCCTTCAAACCGAAACACAACTGCTTCACGGTAGAAACACAACTGCTTCACGGTAGAAACACGAATGGGACAGAGGGCACGTCAAACGACTTTTGTACAGTCTTCCTCTATAATATCTATTTTATTACCGTACATTGGCGTGATAGTAGACAGTTAAATAAACGGAAATAATATATAACAGTTCTCTGTCGGTTAAAATCAATAGTGACTTATCAACTAAATTGCCCGTGTAAGTGTACCTTAATTTACAAAATAAAACTGTTAAAGTAGTAAATTCCTTACACTTATGATACACATACGAGATCCATTACTCTTTCGTCCGGTTTGCAAGAAACCGTTACACAAATGATACTGCCCCAGTCATTATGTTCGCAACGTTCCATGGTAGGGCCAGTAGGGCCGAGTGTGGTGCAAGCGTGGCGAGTGCGATAGCGGTGCGGTTGCGATACGCTGCGGCGCCGCGCGGCGGCGGCTCAGGCCGGTGGGGGACTGTCTGAAAGAGAAATTTATTGATTAAAGTTTCGTAAGTATACATTATATTTTAATGTAATAACTACGCGAGTCAGGCTCGCGCACGCGTTAAAGTCGCTCATGGCTAAGGATCCCGGATCGGTTCCGAAACTAGTCGATCTTTTTCTATTTAATTACAAAAAAAAAATGTTCGTGTTTTATGGATTTTACCCAGCGTACCTCTCTCTGGTGTTGCGGGATGGTCATCATCATCAGTCGAAGTTCAAGAGGCGCGGCGGCCGGTGAGCGAGCCCACGAAGGACTTGAGCGCCTGCCCGAGCGAGCCGCGGCTGCCATCGCTGCCGCCGCTGGTCGTGCTGCCGCCGCTCACCAGCGACGCCGCGCCACCGTGCGCGTCCAGACATTTCTGGTAGCGCAGCTGAAAATTGCACAATAAAATTTAAGGCTATAGGCCCAGACGAGAGATACTTAGGTACCTACTTCTTTGTCTATCAAAATTCTACATAATCTGTAATTTTTTTTTATATTTTTCGTGCAATATTGTATCAGCCGTTAACCGTTGCTGAACATAGTCTCCCCCCCCCCCCCCCTATAAGGGAGGTTTTGTCAGTAGATGCCACGCTTTACAACCACAATTTGGCTATTGGTGATGTTTTAAAAGGGACGCTGCTGCTCATCCCTCTACCATAACTTCTTTTCTCCTTTCCTTCTTTATTTTTTATTTTTTTAATATTTATCGTACAATATTATTTATTAAACTGTCACTGGATTTTTTTTAAAAAGGTAAATATTTGCAAATTTTTTATTTGTAATTTAATGTGTGATTTGTTATATAAGAAAGGTTCGTCATATCAGCCGTTAACTGTCCAATGCTGAATATAGCCCCCCCCCCCCTTAAAGAGACCCCTCTTAGTAGCCAATAGCTGCCACGCCTAGCAAGCGAGTTGGCAACAACAGTTAAACTTTGGTGATGTTTCAAGAGGGACGCTGCTGCCCATCCCTCGACCATTAAATTCTCTCAATCACCTTTTACAACATCCACAGGAAAAGAAAAGATGGCCCATTCTATGTCGAGAGCACACAATGAAATAAAGACAGTAAAGGTGTAGTTCGCTATAAAACCACTTTATGAATACTCATATAGGAAAATAGCACACTCTTCTTGGAGATAAACTATGATTATGACAGTGAATTCATCGTGTGGTTCCGGCATAGAATAGACCACCCCTTCTTTTCCGTTGCGTGTCGTAAGAGGCGTCTAAGGGAGGGCAAGGAATGGGCAACAGCGTCCCTCTTAAAACATCTCCAAAGCGTAACTACAGTTGCCAATTCGCCTGCCCAGCGTAGCAACTACTGGCAAAACTTCCCACAGGCGAGACTTATACTCAGCAGTGAACTAAGGCAGTGGATAAAGGCTGATATGATGATAATGATGATAACAGTGGATAGTGGGTGGTAGATACCTTGCAGGCGGCCTCAATAGTCTTGCAGAGCGCGCCCGAGGAGGGCTCGGCGTGGAAGGCGTGCGCCACGAACAGGTCCTGCGCCGTGTGCACGATGAACGCGCAGCGCCGCACGTCGCGCCCGATGCCCAGGAACGACAGGTACCGCACGCGGCATTCCACCATCGGCGTCGTTTCCTGCCCAAGATCACATTTTATTCGATTTTTTTACTAGATTTTTTTTATTAAATTGTATAATTTAATAAAAAAATCAGTATTCTAATATCTCTTTTACATATTTATATATTTAATGCTTAGATTATATAGTTAGAGCATCGAGCCTCAAAAACAGGTCAACTTTTTGTCAGCTAATTGTCAAATTAACTGACTCGTTTTTTTATCAGTGTTCTATATATTTAGACATAAAATGTATCTATACGTATTATTTAATAAATAAAATAAGTGTTTACGTATTAAAAAGATGTACAAATTATAAGACAAAATAAATATAGAAGTTATAAAAGAATCACTCATAACTATTTATCACGCAAAATTGTATGAAAAAGTTAACCCGTTTTCCTCGAAACATTTCTATGAAGACACTTTATCTATATAATTTAAGTTTTAATGTAATAACAACCGGTTTAGTTTATGTGTCATTAGGTCGATAAAGCTCGATTAGTTTCGAGATCAATTCGTGATCCTTAATGAGCAGCTGTGACACGAGCGCGAGCATGACACGTAAGTTAAACCGGTATTTATTACATTAAAATATGTGTGCTTACGAAACTTAACAATAAAATATGTATATATTGTTAGAAACGAAAATAAATTCTCTTTATTTACATAGACTTTTTTATAAATTCCTTTAAATCGTTACTTTGTATGATTCTATAACTGGCTGCGGAATGTTGTTCTCTGCTCTTCTAGATTCTTATTACACGTTACTCAGGTATATCGTTCAGCTTTGCTTGCATTTATCTTTTACATTTATATCAGTACCTAAGATTCCTATTCTAGGTATAGTAGATATCAGAACTTAATCCAAAATATACAGTTCTGCTTAAGTAGTGTGTAGTGCAATAATGATTGACAATTGATAAACAACAATGCTGAGGTACCTTTACATATCTTGCTTCTCCAAAGAAATAGCTGCAACTATTAAACAATACTTACGCCTTCTTCTGTAATCGTGATCATTGAAGGTGCCACAGCAACTGCTACGGGACGCCAGGCGCAGGGTGCCCGCGCGGCAGCTAGGCGGTCTAGTGCATCATTCAGGACATCCATGCCGGTAGCTCGTGTTACTTCTGCACTGCCGAGGTAGCGAGCACGGACTGTCTTACGGGGCTCCTCCATTGGCGTCGGGAATGATGCGCCTGAAGACATGGTTCGCATTGTGGATATTACCTAATACCACTTTAAAAAATGTATGTAGAATTAATGACTACTGAATATGGGAAGTTTATAAAATTGATGAATTTGTTTGTCATATGGATTGTTTTTATTGAAATGTATCAATATTTCTATCTAAATATAGTATTTAGGGTGCAAACATTAAAGAATATTATTAAATTATTATATGTAGATGATACTATTCTATCTAAATAAAGAAATATTTCAATCATTAATATAACAAATGAATCATCTAAAACTACTACTTTGTACAAATGCAAAATGGACTACTAGAACCTAAAATCAGCACACATCCCATTCACACTTCTAGAAGAAAAGAAAATCTACGATGACTTTACCTTGCAACAGAAACGTACCGGAGAGCGGTCGCGGACGCCTCGCGGCCGGTAAGTCTGTGGGGCGCGGTGGTGGTTGCAGGGAACGTTCAATCATGATACGCTTGCAGATGTCTCGGAGTGCGTTTGCAATGGTACGTGCAGGGGCTTCACATCGGAACACATGACACATGTGTTTACGCGTCGCGCGGTCACGAGCTACATACGCGAAGTCCCTAAAATAACAAATTAGATATTTTAAATACACTATCAAAATTTAACGAGATAAAAATTATAGTTCAAATTTTACACTGTTTTTAACTTGTATTCACTTAATACGCTGTCTAATTCTAGAAAATAGAAACATATGATATATAACAAAATATTATTATGTGATTTCATTTTAAATGTATGTAATAGGTAGTATAGATATATATATTTATATACCACCGTGTGATAAAGTGATAAATAATGAATGAAATAATAAATATTTACTCACTACCATCACATTTTTATTTAATTGAGATGACAAAAGAGGAATGGTTGTATCAAATGAGGATTTTAGATTGTTGATTGTGATTATTTGATGTTATCACTACAGTATTTTATTCATACCTTTCGCTGTTCCCACATGGCAGATAAGAAAGGAAAAAAGTGTTCATTTAGTTAGATAGATATCACCCAAACTTCTTCAAAACATGTTAAAACGTAGGCATCTAAGGCGAGAAAAAGACCTACGCTTGGTCTTTTAGGAGATGAAACATAATGACCGGAGTTTTAATCGAGAAATGCACTTGACTACCCCATCAGAGGTTAAAGCCGGGAGCACAAATATTCATCGATACATTATTACAATATATAATTAAGAAATATATATAATATCAGGGTAGAATAGAATAGACATGATAACCCGAAGTCAAAAAATCCCTAAAAAACTAATTCAAGTTCATATACTGTGGTAGTGTAGTAAATGTATATGTTCATATATTTAACGTAGTAGGTAGTACCTAGACAATTATTAAAAAAAAAACATTCATATAATAACAATTTGTCATTTCTTTGAAAAATGCATAATTTATGACACTAATTGAATATATTTTTATATATGTTAAAAATTTTATGGATCTATGTATATTATTCTCATATTTCGCGAGAATTCATTAAAATCTACCTGTCCTAGGGGTGGCCACTAAAAATCAGTAAAACGCTGCAGCTTAAGCTGAGTGGGGACCATTTCGGCTACTACCACAGAATTATTACTTTAATATATAAACTTGTCATTAATATTGTTATGTTTTGTAGCGGAATAAATGATTTTATTATTATTTTTTAAATTTTTACAAAATTGACATCTCCCCTCTTAAGGAGAGGAGATGGCAACTAACCCCCGGCAGAAGCACAGTCGCCCGGGTTCAGGACCCCAGGGAGAGAAATCGGCGTACAATGCGGGCAGAATCTAAGAGCACCGCTTTCTGCATCTTTCCCGGGAGTGAGCTGCCTCGGAATCCCAACCGTCTGCGATGTTGTTCTAGACTGATTAGGATATGATCGTTCACCGACATAACGATTGGAATGATTTCGGTGAACGTCACTCCCCATATTTCGGCCATCTCGTGAGCCAGGTCGAAATAGTTATTATAATTATTAATCATAAATAATAACAGTGTAAATAAGAAATAAATAATTACCAAGTTTTAGATTAAATATGTATTCCCAATTCATCTAACTATTTAACATTAAAATAACATTAAGATATCCAATTTTTACTTAATATCAAACAAATATCATTAATACATTTTCAGAACACTCTCCTTTAGAGGTGAGTAATATATAGCAATATATATTTTATTTACAACATCTATATACTGGTCCAATAACGAATATGTTAAAAGTCTAAATATCCAAAAAATAATATTCGATAACAGATTTTTAACATATTCAAAAACAGATACCCGATATCAAAATCGAGAATAACCTGTTTTTCCGGCATCAATGTCCAGAGGAACCCAGCATATAGATATCGGTTCGGTATCCATATTACCCATGCCTACTCACCGTCCGTTGTCTCTGCCGACCCCCCAAACGCGTATAGTGTGAATAGGCTGCGTGTGCAGCGTAGTAAGACTTTCTGGATCGATCAGCTTCAACGCTCCGTCGTCCAAATCCATAAAGAGATCTTTGCCCTGTAATATAACAAATATTAATTTGTAAATTAAGTATGTAATTAGTACAACAAAGTAACTGTATTGCGACTACTTTGTTTGCGTGAAACAAGATAAAAAGTAGACATATAGGTATTTAAGGAATATACTCTTTCAACTGATTTCAAAAAGAAGAAAGTTCTCAATTCGTTTAATTTTTTTGTTTATTATAACTCCAACAGTTCTAAAGTCCCAGTTTGAAAAATTCTTTTTTTTTTCTGAAAGTTTTCTGAAGATTGATCCCATAAAGATTGTATTGAAATCGATTATATTTATTATTATTATAGTTTAGTTTTATTTATGGGACGCAATTTTTAATTACATATGTTTAGCTAGGCCAGAATATGGTGTATATGTAACTATACAAAAATTAAATAACAAAAATTCAAACAAAGCAGCCACTGTAGAGACTACTTGACACCAGAGGGAGTTGCTAGCTATATACTCTATCAGGTTGACCGTACGTAGTCCCTTTTGAAAACTATATTAGTTAATTATTTAACCGTTGGCAATTATTATTATTTCAGTCATTAACTGTCTACTGTTAAACATAAGCCTTCCCCATAAGGAGAATTTTGCCAGTAGTTGCCACGTTTGGCAGACGGGTTGACAATCACAGCTTGGCTTTTAAAGATGTTTTAAGAGAGACGTTGCTGGCCATCCCTCGCCCTTCCTTAATCACTTTACGACACACACGGAAAAGGAACGGGTGGCCTTTTCTATGCCGAGACACACGCGACCAATATACTTATCTTTGCTCTTTCTTTTTATATAATGAAATTTATTTATTTTATTTATTTATTAAATACAAGAAATTTACAACGTGAGTACATTGAACTCCGCACTAGGCGAACCTGTATCGCGGGAGTCCATAAGAGGTTACCAAGACACGGTGATTAAACAAATATAAATTAAATAACCAAAGAAAAGATGTACGAAATATGTGAACAATGATATGCATATAAAAAGGAAGTATTATGGCTGATAGAGACCAGTGGAGGATGAAAATATATCGAGCCAACTCCAAATAATCAGATAAATGCAAAGCAATGCCGTTAGTAAATTGCAGGAAGGATTTTTTTTAGGTTTATGAAACTTACATCGCCCCAGCGTCCGACTTGGTCGAGCAGATCATTGCGTCCGAGACTCAGGTCCACGATGCACTTGTTGACGGCTCGACTGGACCTCTCGGGGGTGAGGTCTGCCTCCGATATCTCCACCCAGCCCAGGGAACGGACGAAGAATCTGACCGCTCGGCCGTTGTCTGGCTCTGGACGTGCTGGGAAACTGCGTCGCCTGGTACCAAAGATGATTAGTACATACATATACATACATATCCGTCACGCCTCTCCCATTAGGGTAGGCAGAAACAATGAAACGCCAAATGCTTCGATTCAAACAAACCTCTTTCGCTTCTTCCACATTCCTCAATCTTTTCATACACGCTCGCCGGTTACGGGTACTTTTAATTTGGCCCTTCTTCAGCACATCGCCTATTTGGTCAACATACGTCCGTCTAGGGCGGCCCCTACCGACATCTCCATTCATTCTTGCTCGATAAATCTCTTTCGTAATTCTTCTTTCATCCATCCTCTCCAAATGACCAAACCAACGCAACATTCCTTTTTCGATTTTTGTCACTACATCGTCTTTCAGTCCACACTTCAAACCAAAAAGATGATTAGTAATAAATATGATATTCTGGATATAACCATATATCTATATAGCATATATTACAGCTGTGTAACTGTGATGGAGTAACTAGCATTCACACTTCTTTTCGTAATCAATATCAAATGCCCCTTTTCCTTCTTTTTTTAGTATTATTATTTTTCTGTTACGCCAGACACAATTTTAATTATTCCTCTCTAACCCAAAGTTGCCTGGAAGAGATTGCTTTTCAGCGATAAGGCCGCCCATTGTTGCCTCTTTATCTTGCTTTTATGTAATTAAGTATGAATTTTGTTCGTGTACATATTGTTCATCTTTATAATCTGCACCATTCTTTGGAGGAAACAATAAGGAGTTTTCATTCATTCACTCATTCAATATGCTATATTCTCTATTGGTTCCATATTAATGTTATTATGATTGATATAATTGTTTTTTTTTTTTTTTTTACGGTAAGAATCATGCTTTTTTTTTAATTTTAATTAAAGAAAACAATTGAATTATGTTATAGTAAAAGAAAAAAATTATTTGAAAGATGTACACACAGACAAGCACTAATGGTAAGCTTCACTACCCAAGTGTAATCTTGACAAAATAATGTTGTTCACTTGAAATCTGTTTATGTAAATGATACAAACTCACTTGTAGGACATTTCTTCTTTCCGTTTCCTCTCCGCCTCCTGATCCACGTGGTCGAGAGCTCCACTCGTGGTACTCCTCGTCACCGAGGACGTCATCACATTGTGCTCATACTTGTTCACTTCGGACAGGTTGGAGCAGTCCCGCACCATGGAGATGCGGGTTTCCTTGGCCTCGATTGGCGGCATTTTGGGTATATCTCTTTGGATCGTGCCACTTTTTATGTGCCAGTAGTAGGGACCATCGTTGTCTGAGAAGAAAAAAAGGTTTTTGAGTTATTACAGTTCCCATATTCTCCATATTTATTTAAACTTTTACCTACTTTATTTTTATTTACAATTTTACTGTGTATTAAGCATAGTAAAATTCTATGTACATTTGGCGAAGAGAAAATTTACAAAATCCGGCACGAAGGATCAGTTCGTAACAGGTCCTTAGACTGGTGGTAATCGATATTCATTGAGTGTGTTATCTAAAAACTCGTAACAAAAGCACTGCCTTCCTTACAATTGTATACTGCGAGTTGTATCATGGTGGAAGCGAAATTGACAAACAATATATGTCAAATTACAACTGACACTTTCTTATAATTAAATGTTTTGTTAAATATGGGAGTTATATTCAAGTCCTGCCCGTGATAACAAATAATTGTAATTTGGACACTGGACGGTGATAAAGCTTAAATTGAATAGATTATATATAAATATATATATTCCATATGGAAACGAAGTTAGAATTTATTGTATCCCATGACAAATAAATGAAAGAAGTCATAACAATCGGACCTAATAAGAAATTTCAGAAATGTAGTTCAATAAAGTATAGTTTAGATATTTGTAAAGTTGAGAATCGAACCAGAGATCTCAAATTATAGCACACGAAAGCATAACATGTTAGTCCTCAGGAATAGCAACCCATGAGAGGTTCCATGTTCCATGTTAACAATCCCTGTAGCCACATTCAATCAGATGGGCCGTTTCTTACTCATTAAAGATTGCTACATAAAAAACATGCCTTGTACTGAAGCATCATAAAAGATATTTCTAATTTACCCTCATGCTTCTCCCAGCCGGGCGGCAACTGCGGTTCCTTCTTGGGTCTGAGTTTCACTGGTATCGCGTACAGGTCATCGTTGGGCCCCTCAGCGGAATGTGGCACGGGCCCCGCGTGACTCTTCTCTGTGTCCTCTTGATCCGCCCTCTCCTTCTCCGGCGGGGGGGATTCCTCCCCTCCATTCTGTTGTGGTGGCGTGATGAAGCCGCTTTTTTCACTGTAACAATTTAAAATTCTTTATTTGAAATTTCTAACTCTTCAAAATTAGAAGACACTAATGGCTTACTCTATAAAGCTTTTAGTTTTTAGCTCGTTTTTGATTTAAAGTTGCAATGTAAAGAAACAATCGGGAAATAGCAGAAGGCTTTTATATTTATTTATTTATTTATTCATTAGTACAAATATGTGTACATGGCGAACTTAATGCTAAAAGCATTCTCTCCCAGTCAACTATAGGGAAGTGACAGAATACTCGAATGCGGTACTACTAATTATTGAATATACATTTATACTATGTGGAATTCAAATATAATCGACGAAATGTGAATGTCAAATATTTGCATATTCCAGTAGAAAAAAATACAAAAATCATTTTATGGCCCCTATAATAATTTTGACCCACAATGAGAGGATCGGGCTATCGTATTTATTACACAATGCCCACAGAATGTCGTTACTGCTGCCACGCAATCGGTACAAAAGAGATGCGATCCGTTTGCGTCTGATGGCATAGAAGTCATCTGTCGATGCCGCTGCAAACATTGTGGATGCACTACAAAAACGTGGCAGCCGTAACAACACCCTGAAAACATCATTGTATTGAACACGCAGAGCGCTGTATGCCCGCCGTGTATAGTCAACCCACAGGCTGCTCGTGTAAAAACATTGGCAATATGCCTTGAACAATATAGGCCTCTCCCATAACACTGCCATAAGGAACGGTTCCGAGCCACTTGCATTCATACCGTAGGATTTTTCAAATCGTTTTATAAGTTAAACATTAAAAATAGAGCCGAATTGAGGACCTGATTTTTTGAAGTCGGATAAAAACAAAGCCCTCATTGTTGATGTATCATAAAATAATATAATGAATCACAGTGACGCACCAGACCGTATATTTAAAATTAATTTGTGCAAATTAACTTTTTTTGTGCCGCTCAATTAATAATGATGCTCTTAATGTACATTTTTATTATTATTATATTCGTGTTTCTACCGTGAAGCAGTTGTGTTTGCATGGCTGTGTTTCGGTTTGAACGGTGGGATATGGCAGTGAATTTACAGGGTACAGAGGAATAACTACTGAGTCCTCAGGAATGGCAACGCATGAGGGTTATCATGGGTGAAACAGTATACTCTGTTATGTGCATGGTACTGCTCATGTCTATAGGCGACATCATCTCATCGACTCATCTCGATACGCCACCTACAAGTGGTATGTATAATTGGTTTTTCTACTTTTAAAATTTACGTATCCAAAGTAAAGTAAAGTAACAAAGAGTCAAAAATATTAATGATCTTTACTCAAATAGTTTACAAGTACTTTTAAATCGTGACATTTTGTATTTATAAGTGGACTTGTTTATTAAATATCAAAGGATTTCAATAAATTCCTTAAAACCCTTTGAAAGGTATACGGAAATAATTTTACAAATAATTTTACAAGCAAGGATAACATTTACGAAACAACAATCGCCGTTTGCAATGATACATTTTTTTTCAGTACTTTTCAATTGCCAGACAATTTTCAACTTTACGGCTACAGCAACAGAGATAATAAAATAAATAGGATTGACGTTCTTAATCTTATTAATTCGCAGTATTATTCCACTGGTGCCTAAAATACAGCTCAGTATATCGATCTCTTTTAGCCGACTTTAAAAAAAGAGGTTCTCGATTCGGCTATATTTTTTTATGTTTGTTACCTCAGTTGGAAACCGATTTTTTATTTTTATTTGAAAGGATATGTATACAATATATATTTCGCCGTGTGTGTCCCGGCATAGAATGCGACACCCCCTTCCCGTGGGTGTCGTAAGAGGCGACTAAGGGAAGTTAAAGATGGAGTATGCGCAGCATGCTGAAACATCTCTAAAAGTCTATTTGTGGTTGCCAACCCGCCTGCCAGGAGGGGAAAGGGATTGTTAGTAATGGAGTTTGACAGCCCCATTGCTAGCAATATGCCTTATTAGGTCGACCTCCACGTGGTTCCCCTTGGAAACCATCGCGAACGATTCTTGTTGAATTCGTCACGATGGGCTAACTGACCTGCTTCATCCTCACCTATCATCCTTCACTGGTGCCCCGCCGGTGTATCCCGTTAGCGCAGGCAGGGTTACCATTCCATTTTCACCCATCAAAAAATATTAGATCTCAAAAATGGCGACGCATGGGGGGGACAAAAAAGTTAATACTTACTTGGATTTTTTCACAGGGGACGCGGTGTCATCTTCGACTCTGTAATGAAACAAAAATATTATATGGTTAAAAATGTTTATAACTTTTTTTTTATACAACTTAGAATGGCAAACAAGCTGACGGCCCACCTGATGGAAAGTGGTAACCGTCACCTATAGACATGAGCAGTACCATGGACATAACAGAGTATACTGTTTCGCCCATGATACCCCTCATGCGTTGCCATTCCTGAGGACTCGGGTGTTATTCCTCTGTACCCAGTAAATTCACGCCATATCCCACCCTTCAAACCGAAACACAGCCATAACTAACAATCCGACCCGGCTTCGCGCGGGTAGAAGGACAGCTTGTACAAAATACAATTACAGTACGGTATATTTAATGGCAGATACACGTTCTTAATGTCATGTAGAGCAAATTATAATGCAGTAAAAATGTATGACGTAATGAATATTCATTACTCATATTATTGTTTCTTTCACTTGGTCATTATTAATTGGGACGGTGAGCGCGTGCTTTCTCCTTCTTTATTAAATTATTCAAATTTATATTTGAACAATAAAAATACATTTGTTTAGTAACACATTTACCAAGTAACAGATACCAGAGGGAGACTTTGTACAAAAGTCGATTGCTTAGACAGAGGTACTGTCCCATTCGTGTTTCTACCGTGAAGCAGTTGTGTTTGCATGGCTGTGTTTCGGTTTGAAGGGTGGAATATGGCGTGAATTTACAGGGTACAGAGGAATTACACCTGGCTCCTCAGGAATGGCAACGCATGGGGGTATCATGGGCAAAACAGTATACTCTGTTATGTCCATGGTACTGCTCATGTCTATAGGCGACGGTTACCACTTTACATCAGGTGGGCCGTCAGCTTGTTAGCCATTCTAAGTTGTTGTTTGTTGAAGGAGTTGTCGAAAATAAATCGACAAAACAACAATCCCTCTATAATGAATTTAATTATGATTAGACAATTATAAAATTGTAAAGTTTGTAAGTAAATTGTAAATTGTAAAGTTAAAAGTTTTGTAAACACACATTAATGTAATAACTACACTAACTTACATGTAATTTGATAAAGAAAGGTCGACTAGTTTCGGGACCATTTGGGGCCCTTAATCGTGAGCGGCTATAACGCAAGCGCTAGCCTGACTGTAACTACCGTACTACACTAAGTTAAACCGGTAGTTATACACAACATTTGGCAACTTAATACACAATTGCAAATTGATATAAAAAATATTGTTAAAACATGAAAATTATAATACAATAATTATTGAGTGATTGAAAAATTTCAAAGCGGATAAACAAACAAACAAACCTGTTATCTATTGATGTATTTAGACATTTAAAGAAAAAGGTCGAAAGAATAAGGCAAAACGCTAATAACAAGTTTTTATTAGATACTTGACGAATTTAATGATTGAGGGATCGTCTGTCTGCCAAGTATGCCGGAGTTCGCCAATAGTTGTGGCAACTATTCTCGAAATTCCACCCCCCCCCCCCCATAACCATAATAGGTAAATATTCAGCAGTGAGTCGTTAACGATATGTTGACGATGATGATGGCTTGAGAAGTTGAGACTTGACGTTTTACAAAGAGGAGGGGTCGATCTCCAAGTGCATCGCGAACTGAGAAACTTTGAGAACGCCTGGCGTAACTAATTTAAGGGAAAACTCCGGCCAGTTTCGGAGGTCGGATGGCGTGCAAACGGTCGAAAGTTCGAGAAACTTGGAACGATGTAAGTATAAGAAAACGTTGATGATTCCGACGTGGACGAGTTCTGACGCGATTTGATAACGCGGTTTGAATGTGAGTTGTTTAAATATTGTGTTATACTTTATTAACCGACTTCGAAAAGGAGGTTCCCAATTCAATTGTATTTTTTCATGTTTGTCACCTCATAACTCCGTTGGACGTAAACCAATTCGGAAAATTATTTTTTTTAAATATACAATCAGGACTGGACGCGATGCCAGTTCCAATACCTTTGCAGGTAAATAGTCGATTTTTTACTTTATTGCCGACATTTCGACGTCAAGTCTCCGATTGTGTATTTAAAATATGTGTAAACAACGTAAAAGTTTAAAATTAACTAACTTTTTTTTTTATTTGAAAAGATATATTTACAGATTAGTCCCATAAAAAAATTATCTAAATCGATTATGTAGTTTCGTTTTTAAATCAAAATATCTAGTTTGGCCACAATGAAGTCGGTTTTTTTGTGGGACATAATCTTTAATTTACTGACTAGCGATCCAACCCGTCGTCGCTCTTTAGTGGATTCACTTTTTTTTTATGGCACAAACAGTCATTATACCTATAAGTAGGTACTTAGAAATAAGAAATTATACAATAGACCAAACAGTACCGATACATAATCTTTCCGGTGAATACGGGGACACTACAGCTATTTTATCCCACATCCCTCCACATAGTGACATCCCATTCCTTCTCTTAAGATTCTTTAAAAAATCTCCCAAAAATTGCCGTCACTTACATGTTTGCCCAGCGTGTTGACTTAAATAATAAAACCATAAATTATCCAATGAAAAGAACCAATAATTTGTGGCTTTCAGGGCGAAAAGCTGGGCATAGCACATGATGGAGGGTATCGAGGAAAGGTCCAGCAGTGGACTGATACAGATACAAGCTGATGATGATGATCCACATCGGCTGGGCAAGGATAAAGAGAAAGGTAAATTAATATTTTAACTTCAGTAAGTAAATTAATTCTTGATACTTTGAGTAAAGTTTGTGTAACTTTCATTCCAAATTCAAATTTCTTGAAAAAAAAAAAAAAAAAAAAAAAAATATATATAATATAAAAAAAAAAAAATATATATATATATATATATATATATATATAGTTCGCCCCAGCTTCAGACGAAAAGATACTCGAGAAGGAAGATAAGTCAGTGTTTTAGTTTTAATAGGCAAATTATTGATTGTATGAATGAATGAAAAGAAAGATTAACAATATATTACTGGTTTACATTATTTTATAATTTTCATAGGAATTACTATTACTGTTATTAGTTTTAAATTTTAGTTTTGAAAATTACGTAATTCGCTGATTATATAGTTTTCTACAGATAAAAGAATTATTAAAATCGGTTAAGTAATTTTTGATAGAGAAAGGGTAATATCTGATATCTATATATTGGGTTCTTCTGGACATTAATGACCACCCATTGCGATATCTATATTCATTACAACAAAAACAATACACAGATATTGCTATACATATATTACCCATCTTTGGTTATTGAGTTTATCCAAAATCTTAAATCATTCCTCTTTCTAAAATAATAATTCGTTCCTCTTTCTAATATTAGGATAGATATATATATATAGTAAGGAATATGCATAACTATGTATTACACGAACATGTGTTCCAAGTGTTTCCAAAGCAAATATTAATGTTCTAACACAAAGTAAAATTTAAATGAAATGATCCGCCCGCGAGCACGGAGTCCGCTTTACGACCTGTGCGCTATGCACACATAAAACTTTGTGTGCACATTGGAGAGAAATGTTGGTAACAACCTATATATATCAGGATATTTGTGAATATACAATATATTATATTATTATATTTTTCATCGTGCCTCCGATCAAACTGTTTATAATTACTCCTCTCCATCCAAAGGTCGCCTGGAAGAGATCGCTCTTAGCGATAAGGTCGCCTCATTGTTTTCTCAATAAAATATTTTCTTGTAATTGTTTTATAATTTTTTTTATGATGATGTTGGCTAGAAATGCTTCAAGGGTGTTCTTCTCTAGAAATCTGTCCGATTCTAAAATAAGGGCATACGGGTATGTGACCCGACCTCCCGAGCCGCTGCACTGTCCTAGTCCTTTCCGCAACTGCAGTGTCCCCCTTTCCTTTTCCTATCCCACATAAGTCCCTTATTGTTTTTTTTTTAAGTATTGCCAACGTTTTCTTCCTTTTTTTTCTCAATCCTTTCCTCCATACCGTAGGTGGAGGAAACTACCAACAAATGCATTCCCAAAGAGGATTAACGTTTTGGCTTAAAACTATAAGCCAAATCTTTTTGCAATATGAATAACAAACATATTATGCCAACCGCAAATGATATTTGGATTGGGATAAGGGTAGAAAGAAGAAAAAGATGTGAGCTAGAGATCTTTACTAATATTAAAAACATGAAAATAAGTTTACATGCTTTTTTTTATACAACTTAGAATGGCAAACAAGCTGACGGCCCACCTGATGGAAAGTGGTAACCGTCGCCTATAGACATGAGCAGTACCATGGACATAACAGAGTATACTGTTTCGCCCATGATACCCCCCATGCGTTGCCATTCCTGAGGACTCGGGTCTTAGTTCTCTGTACCCAGTAAATTCACGCCATATCCCACCCTTCAAACCGAAACACAGCCATGCAAACACAGCTGCTTCACGGTTGAAACACGAATGGGACAGAGGTACCTAAGCAATCGACTTTTGTACAAAGTCTCCCTCTGGACATTTCTCCTTGTTACTTTATAGCGCCTTAACGGCTTAACCATTCGCTATGAAATTTGATATACGCATACTATATGGAATGGACAAAGTTGTAGGCTATATAAATAGGCTGTAGGCTATATATATGTATTTAATAAATAAAATGGTAGTATATTGCGCATTAAAAAGGTGCAGAATTTATAAGACAAAACAAATATAGAAGTTATAAAGGAATCACTCATAACTATTTATCACGCAAAATTGTATGAAAAAATTGACCCGCTTTTTTTGAAGCAATTGTATGGAGACAGATATAATCTAAGGGGTACATATATAAGATGAAAATGAAAATTCCGGAGAAGAAATATATTCTAGAAAACTCTGTACAGTTGAGATTTTAAACATTAGTTATTCTTGTCAATAAGGCGGACTTGTGGACGTGTCGATATAGCGGGTGCGCCAAAATAAAATAGTTTTCAGTTCTCGTTTCAGCTCGGTCGTAGATAGTTGCTACGTGAGCCTTTCAGACACTATCTGTGCTGAAATATTGTATTTCAGATGC